GGCGGTCGGGGCCTGAGGTCAGGAGCATGTCTGTCTTTCCCGCTGGCCAGCTCCTCCAGGAAGCCTTCCCTGACCACCTGACCCTTTTGGCCCTCTGCAATGCCCGCGTGCTGCTTTATTCTGCCGGGGAGAATGGCCAGCAGCGGGCAGTCGGGAGGCCCTGCAAGGGGGGACTGATGACCTGGAGAGCTGCCGGAGGAGGAGGGCGCAAGCAGCCGGCCCCGGGGTGTGCGAGCTGGGGGATTAGATGGCGCAGCTGACCTCTGAATTCCTGGGCACCTCGGGGGCTGAGGTCCTGCCACGGGTTCTGGATGTTTCTAGGATCTGGGCCTCTGCCCAGAACGCTGGGTCCTCTGTTCATCCCCAAGAAGTGGGGAGCCCTGTGGGTGCCAGGCCCTACGCGGGGGCAGGGTGGGATGGGTCACCTCTGAGTCCTGTCGTCTGGACTCGCCTCCCTGAGACTGGGGCTCTTCTGAAGGGGGTGGGGCTGAAGGGGGAGACACGGGCGGGGGCGGAGGCCCAGGGGGCAGCCAGGGAGGGCCCTGGGCTGCCTCGTGGGAGGGCTGATCCTCTGGGCTGGTGCGGGCTTGGCCTGCCCGGGACTGCCCCCGCCGGGCCCCTGGCAGCGTGGACTTGGGCTCGCCTGGGAGGATTCCAGGAACAGCTCCTGCCCTGATAAAAATAGCCTTCTCCGAAGGGCTCGGGCCCCGCCGTGGCAGCAGGTGCCCGCCAGCCCCGCGGGCCGGCGCCGGGCCAGGGATCGGGGAGGCCGGGCGCAGGTCGGTAGCCTGGCCGCTGGCTGTGTCCGGGTATCGCCAGGCCGACGGGCCCTTCGCCTGGGACAGATGAGGAAACCGAGGCGAGGCCGGGGAAGCAGCTGCCCTCGGGCCCTGTCTCTCCAGAGGCGGGGCTGGGTCATTCGGGCCGCTGGGGGTCTGCGAGGACCCGTGGCGGTCCTCTTCCGGGCCGGGGCCGGGCCAGGGCCAGCGCTCTGCCTCTGGGCTGCTGCTCTGCCGCGGAGGGGCCAGTCTGGGTCCTTCCTGGGAGGCCTCACGGGCGGGCGGGGGGGAGGGCCTGGGGTGCTGGGCCAGAGCCGCCCTCAGGGAGCCGTGGTGCGGGAGCCCGGAGCCGGCCTGGCCCAGCCCCGCTCTCTGCCGGGCTCCGGAGCTGGTGGGCACCCCCCCGCCCCGGTTGGGGTGTGCCTGCAGGCCCGGCACCGTGGGAGGGCCTGTCCTCACGCCCCTGCCTGCCAGCTCGGCCACCGGTGACCGCCGGGGCAGTGTGGGGAGCCCAGGAGAGGCTGTGCTCCCCGGGACCCTGGCCAGGGCCCCCCCAACAGCAGCCCCGGCTGCTGTCCGCTGACCGCAGGGCTGGCCGGCCGGGGGCTGGGCGCAGGGCCGCTGCCAGAGATTGGGCCTGGGAGCCTGTGTGCTGGGGCTCTGCCTGGCCTCCCACCCCCGGAGGGCTCCAGGGCTGCCGCCCCCCCGGGCACGCAGGGGCTGGTGCGGGCTCCCCCCCGGGCGCCGCCTGCGGAGCCCTCGAGTTGCAGGTACGTGCTCCCTGGAGGTGGAGCCAGGACTGCAGCCAAGAGTGGACGGGGCCTCGGAGGGCTCCCCAAGAACCCCGGGGGGGCCCAGGTGGCATTTGCGCTCGGCATTGGCGGGTTAGCCAGTGGGGTGGAGACAGTCTCGGGGTGAAGGCTGTTTCCTGAGGGGCCCTGCGTGCCTGGGTGTCAACATGCGCACACCCTGGGGTGGGGGCGCCCTTGGAAGGGGCGGTCCCGGGGGAGGTGCAGGCGGCAGTCTGAGCAGGCGGCCTCGCGGCCAGGGCGGAGGCTGCTGGTCCTGAGGCGTCAGCGGGGGGCGCCCTCCTTTCTGCTTTTGAAGAGGGGGCATTCCTTGGAGGCTTTTCTGTGTTGGGGACCCCCTGGCTGTAGCACGTGGCCTGCGCAGCCCGCGGTCTGCTGGGCACCTCTGCCCAGCAGAGGTGAGGGACAGCGGCCAGCCTTGCAGGGGGAGCAGGGTGTGCCCAGGCAGCCACACCCAGCTGGCCCGCCCTGCCCGCCGTGGCGCCCCTGGGGACCCTGGGGGGGAGGCAGCCAGCTGCCTGCATGGCGGTGGGCCGGGGACCCCAGCCGCCCCGGAGGGAGCCCCGGCCGTGCCGAGGACTGGGGGCCGCAGCCGCTCGAGCGCCCCTGCAGCCTGGCCTGGTGGCCTAGGCCCCCTACGTTCCCGGACCCCCACGCTCCAGGGGCCACACAGAGGGGCTGATCCCCCCAAAGCCCCCCGGATTCTGCCTCAACCAGCCCAGCCGCCGGCAGTCGGTCCCAGGCTGGGGTGAGGGGGGTAGAAGGTGAGCCCCGCTGGGGTCCGGAAGGCACAGCCGCCCTGGTGCCGTGGGAGGAGCGGGGGGGGGGTGCCCGCAGGAGGCCAGAGGGCCGGGGCGGAGGCCCCGGGGCACCTGGGTGCTGTGCAGCGGGCGTGGGGTGTGGGCGCTCGGGCCAGCCCTCCCGGGAGCTGCACCGCAGAGCCCCTCGGCCCTTGCGCTGGGGTCCTGCTCCGGGCCTCCCTCAGTCCCCCCACAAACACATAACACCCCACACACCCCACACCCCACACACCCCACACACCCCACACCTCACACACCCACACCACACCCCCACACACCACACCCCACACACCCCACCACACCCATATACCCACACACCCCACACCACACACACTCCACACACCACACCCCCCACACACCTCACACCCCACACACCCCACACCCCACACACTCCACATACCACACCCCCCACACACCTCACACCCCACACACCCCACACACCCCACACCCCACACACTCCACACACCACACCCCCCACACCCCACACATCCCACACACCACACCCCACACACCCCCCACACACCCCACACCTCACACACCCCACACACTCCACACACCACACCCCCCACACACCCCACACCCCACACACCTCACACACCACACACTCCACACACCACACCCCCCACACACCTTACACCCCACACACCTCACACCCCACACACCCCATACCACACCCCCTACAAACCCCACACACCCCACACACACCCCACACCCCACACACCCCATACCCCACACCCCCCACACAAACCCCCCCCACACACCCCCCACAACACACTCCACACACACCCCACACAACACACCACACACATCCCCCCACACACACCACACACACCACACACAACCCACATACACACCCCACACAACACACCACACACACACCACACACACACATACCCCACACACCACACACACACCACACACACCACACACATACCACACACACCACACACCACACACACCACACACCCCACACACCCCGCACACACACAACACACACCCCACCCACCCCACACACACACCACACACAACACACCCCACACACACCCAACACCCCCCCCACACACCCCCCACACACCCCACACACCCCCACACACCCCACACACACCCCACACACCCCCACACACACCCCACACACCACATACACCATACACAACACCCCCCCCCACACCACACACACACATACCCCACACACCCCACACACCCCACACACATACACACCACACACACACACCACACACACGTGGGACTGTGGCCCCAGGAGGGTAGGTGTTTGTGCCGGCGCGTGCTCAGCCCATGCGCACTCGGGGACGGGCCGTCCAGGCTGCTGACGCAGGCACAGGATTCCCTCCGCCGCTGCCTTCCCGGCGCCCCACTCTCCCCCCAGGCGCGCCCGGGCACAGTGAGAGCAGCGGGCTGTGCCAGGCGTGGGGCCGGCCCTGGCGTCCCGGGGCCCAGGGCAGCAGGGCAGCAGGGCTGAGGTTCAGGCCGCCTGCCTGGCGGGCGGCTGGATCGGGGGCGCCGGGCGGCGAAGGTAAGAGGTGGTGGCTGCGGCTGGAGGACCCCGAGCAGATGGGAGGCCGGGGGGCTGGGGCTGAGCCCCGAGGCTGGAGCGGGCGGGCTGCGCACACGGGGTCATAGCCGGAGGGGCCTTGAGGGCATCTTTTCTGACCGCTGGTGGTGCAGACGGGGAAACTGAGGCCAGTGACAGGCTCTCCCAGCCCTTCTGCGGGGCGGGGTGCTCCTCCCAGGCCCCCTGCGCCGGCCTCTGGGGACAGAGAGGAAGAGCAGGCTTGAGGTGCCAGTGGGCGTCTACCAGCCCGTCCCCCGTCACCCATGTGTCACCACCTCGGCATGCGCCGGGCAGCTGGCCCCGCCGCCGCCTCTGTGCCTGCCTCTCCGAGCTCCCGGGGGCAGAGCTGCTTGTTTACCTCCCGCCTGCCGGCCCGGGCGAGTGGCGGAGGCTGGAGGCCGGCGAGGCTCTCCGCAGGCGCGTTTCCCCGGGTGCCCAGAGCGCCGACTGAGGTGGCTCACGGCGGCGAGGGGGCCGCCACCCCCGCCCTGGGCCTCCATGCCGGAGCCCTTCCCCCCCATAGTCTGGGCTCAGAAACCCACAGAGGCCCAGGATTCCCGGGAGAGGGTGGCTCCCCGGGGTGGGAGTGGGGGTGTCTGCTGATTACCGGCTGTGGAGGGTGCTGGGCCGCGGGGTTCCCCAGCGGGACTAGAGAGCCCCAGCGTGGGGTCCAGCACGCTCCGGGGGTGCGTGCGTCCCTGCCGGGCCCCAGTGTCCGCGGCGCTCCTGTCAGCTCGGGGCCCTGGCGCAGCTGGGCAGAAGCTGGCCTCCCTGGTGCCCCCAGGTGGGGAAGCGGAGGGCCGGGGAGGGGCACCCCGGCGGCAGGGCCCCTGGAGAAGCGATGTGACGGGGGTCGGGCAGGCCGACACCCTCGCAGGAGGCTCCCGTGACCCCGTCCTCCTCACGTCTCTCTTCCCTTCTCCCTCAGACATCGCCTGCTGCGGACCGGCCTCGGATTTATGGAGCGGGTGTCGGGGGGCCGCGCCGAGTACTGCCGCGCCCAGCACCCCCAGCGCACCTGCTGCTGACGGGGCCGCGCGCCTCGCCACGCACCATTGCCCTCACCTGCCCATGGCCTCTGCTGCCCAGCCCGGGGCCGGCGCCGCCGCCTGAGCCCCGTGCCCCGCTCCAGGACTTGCTCTGCCCCGATGGGGTAACGTGACGGAGGCGGGTGCATCAGAACCGCCTGCCACGGGTGCCGCCTGCGCCGCCCCCCCGCCCAGGGCTACCTGTGGGTTCTGGCTCGTTTGGCCTTTGGCCCTTGGGGCTCTGGCTGTGCCCTTGATTGGGGGGCACCGGCCCTTCCCCCGAGGCCGAGAGGCAGCCCCAGGACAGGCACAGCGCTGGCCGCGCGGCGGGGTCCCCGCGGGATTTTCAGTTTTCTTTGCTGACTTTTGGGGTTGTTATTTTTATTTTGCCCCATAATTCTCCAGCGCTGAGCGAGGAGCTTGGGCTTGCCCGTCTGACTTTAGGGGCGTCCCGCCCCTCTTCTCTTTTGAAGAGCGGGTTTTCTTTTTTAATTCCCCACGCCGGGCAGTGTGCTCCCCTCCCAGGTATTTGCACAATATTTGTGCGGGGTGGGGGCGGGCTTTTTAAAAAGTGTTTTCTCTCTCGGACAAACACGGGGGTCGGGTTCTGCTCGGGCCCGGGGGCTGGTGGGGGCTCGTGTGGGTCCCGGCGCCCTCTGCAGCCTCCCTGGCCGGCCGTGCTGGGGAGCATGTCACGCGTGCACCGGCCCGCCCCCGTGGAGGTGAGCTACAAGCACATGCGCTTCCTCATCACGCACAACCCCACCGACGCCACCCTCAGCAGCTTCCTGGAGGTGAGTGGCCCGAGAGCCAGCGGGACGGGGCTGGTCGCCGCCAACCCAGATACCACCCTTGGAGCAAGGCTGTCGCCCCATTACAGGACCTCCAGGAGGACTCTTGGGGGGACTCCTGGGGACCGGCAGGGGACCCCAAGCTGCGTGAGCTGGTTGGGAGGTCTGAGGAGCAAAGGGCCCTGCCCTGAGCAACCGGGTGTCGCCCCCGGCCAGAGCTCCATGTGGCCGCCGAGCAGAAAGCGGAGGGCTGGGCCTGGAGCTGGCGGTGGCCTGGGCACTGAGACCCGCTGCTGCCCGGCCCAGGGTGCTGGGTGCCCTCGTGCTCTGAGGGGCATGGGGATAGCAAGGCTGGGTAGGGGCTTCAGGGTGCACATATCTGTGTGAGGGGCTGGGCAGGGGCTTTGGACTCCCGGAGGGACAGCAGGCAGGCCCACGCTGCTCGCAGCCCGGCCACATGCCCGGATGTGCGGCCAAGCAGGTGCGGGCACGGCAAGGCTCCCCGCAGCCTCTGGCGGTGGGCCTGGCGCGGGCCTGGCTGTCTGCAGAGCCTGCGGCTGTGTAGGGCTGTTGTGGCCTCGGCCCTGCATCTGGGTTCTGTGGCCCTGCTCCCGTATGGCCACAGCCAAAGAGTGGACCGGGCATGGGACGGTGTCAGCTGTAGACGGGAGGTAGCAGGCCCCTTGCCTTCGGGGGACCTGGGCCGGGTGCCCCAGAGGAGGGTGCCCCCAGCCCTCACAGCTGAGGCCCTTGAGGTCCAGTGGTTCTTGGAAGGACGGGGCACAGCACTGTGACCGTGGCCAGGGGTCATGCGTGACCAGGGTGGGGCTCACAGTATGACTGGGGTCAGTATCAGCCTGTGATGGGGGCTCAGCCCTAGGCTGGTAGCAGGGGGGTTCTGAGACCTTTCACGGCCTCAGAGCCCTGCCCCGCTCCTTGCAGCCCTAGAGAAGCACCTCCTGTCCTCTCTGTGCCCGGCGCCCCCCACCCTGTGCCCGGCCTCCCCCCCGCCCTCTCTGGGCCTGCCCCCGCCCTCTCTGTGCCCGGCGTCCCTGTGGAAGGACAGCAGTTCTGGCATCGAATTGCTCACCACTCTCAAAATAGCTGCCGGGAGGGGGTGGGGGTGGGGGCACCCTGCACGTGGCCCCCCGGGGTGGACCCCCTATAAATACTCCTAATCTGGCTGTGAGCACCGTGACCTTCTCCCTGGAAGCCTGGGGCTTCCCTGTTGGTCAGGGCCCTTCCAGGGCATGCCCCGCCCCGCGCAGACCGCTGAGGGGCCCTGTGCAGTCTGGCCATGCCCTCGACCAGCCTAGCCCTGCAGACCTGTGCAAAGGGGGTCACGTGCCCATGTGGGGACGGGTGTCCTGTCCCTTGCTAGTCGGATCTGGCGTGCAGGGCCTTGCTAATGGGATCTGGGGGCCCTGAGCAGGAGGCGATGTGCTGGGAAGCTGGGGTTCCAGGCCTCGGGCCACACATGGGAATGCATTGGTGGGAGACTCTGCAAGGGACAGCTGCCCAGCAGCATCAGGGGATGACCTGCCCGGCCATGGGGCTTGGACGCTCACGCCAGCCTCAGAGCCAGTCTTGTTGTGGGGACACGACCCTGCCTGGGGACCCCTGAGCCCCACAGCCCCGTTCCTGCCTCCCCATTCCCTGCCAGGACCTGAAGAAGTATGGGGCCACCACCGTGGTGCGCGTGTGCGAGGTCACCTACGACAAGGCGCCCCTGGAGAAGGACGGCATCACCGTGGTGGTGAGTGCGCCGGGTGCGCTGCTGATGCCGGGGTGGTGCCAGGCCTGTCTGCCCGGCCATGCCCAGGGTGGGCATCCTTGAGTGGTGGCAGGGGGATTCTGAGACCTTTCACGGCCTCAGAGCCCTGCCCAGCTCCTTGCAGCCCTAGAGAAGCACCTCCTGTCCTCTCTGTGCCTGGCGCCCCCAACCCTGTGCCTGGCCTCCCCCACTGCCCTCTCTGGGCCTGCCCCCGCCCTCTCTGTGCCCGGCGTCCCCGTGGAAGGACAGCAGTTCTGGCTGTCGCGCGGCCCCTGCAACCAGGCCCTCTGCATGCCGGGCAGGCAGGCAGACCCTGCCGCTCCCAGACGGCCCCACGGCTGCTGTTGGGGGGTGCTGAGACTCAGGCCGGCGGCTGCCTGCAACCACAGCCAGATGGTACCAGCCGGGACAGCCTGGGGACTGGCTCCTTGTAATAGTACCCCCCTTTAAGTGTGTACCCCCACCCCCTGTCAGCGGCTGGGACTGGCAGGGAGTCTGGCCCAGAGTGCAGGCAGGACTCCCGAGGCTCAGCAGGCAGGGCCCAAGGTCCAGGGGAGCCGGAGGGCAGAGCCCGGCCCCCTGAGGCTCCCGGCAGCCCTTCCTCACCTGGGCCAGTCTCAGGGGCCCCGTCCTCGCCGCCCTGTCGCCGGGCAGCAGGTCCCAGGGAGGCTGTCCGCAGAGGCCATGCACAGGGCCCTAGGGACTGTTTCCTTGGTCCCCTGGCTCTGGGGACTGGCGTCCAGGCAGATGTGCATGGGCCTGGCGGCTCCCCCAGTGCAGGGCTGAGGGGATTGGGCTGGAGTGGGCAGTCCCGGGAGAGGCAGGCCTGGCCGACTCTGCCTGGGCCTCAGCCACCTCAACACCAGAGGACCTGCCACCGCTCCTCTTCCGGGCCTCTTGGGCCAGGAGCTCTTGTGCTCAGTCACCTCTGCCCCCAGTTTGGAGCAGGGGAAGGAGCCAGGGCTGCAGGGTCAGACAGGCCTGGCCGAGTCTTACCCCTGCCCCTCCCAGCTGTGTGACCCCAGACTCCTCACCCCTTGCATGTGGGTGCTGAAACCCACCACACGGGAAGGACTTGGCCTAGACCCCCTGGAGTCAGCAGAGAGCGGCCAGGTGACCCCAGGGGCCACGGGAGTCAGCCTCTGTGGCCATGTGGGTTCACCCTGCACAAAAGCTGATTCTGGGGCACGCCCCTGCCTCCCTCAGGAATCTGCTCTCCTGGGGCTCACCTACACCCTGAGAGCGAGACTCGCTGGGCCTCCCCACACATGCTCACTCGTCCCTGCAGGGCGCTGGGGAGGGGGCTGCGCAGCTAATTTTCAAAACCAAATCAACCCCGGAATATGCGAAGGCCCACGTGTAACTGGCTGTTTAGAGCCAGCTCCGCCTGGCCTCGCCCTGCCTTACTCCTTTCTGGAAACAGGGTTGGGGGGTCTGCTCTGCGTGCCTAGGCTGGGGCTGGGGGCTGGAGGGGTGGGGAGGCTGGGGGGCTAGGGACACGAGCAGCAGGGGTTAGCGGTTTATGGACCAGACGGCTTGGCCTGAACCCAGCCCTCCTAGGCTGATCAGACCCCTGAGGGAGGGCCAGGCTGCGACCCCAGCATCAGCACAGGGAGAGTCAGCAGGATGTAGGGCTCAAGGGGTTCCTGAAAGAAAAGGGTGGGAAAGTCCGGGAAGGCTTCCTGGAGGAGGGGACAGCTGACGTGTGCAGAGAGGATGAGCAGCAGCTGTGGAGTGGGGGCTCACAGTCCAGCCCGCCCCGCTATGCGCTGGGATGCCCACTGTCACGGGCTCCTGCACCCCCGGCCCTTCTTGTGGTGTCCCGTCCTTGACCGAGCCCCAGGGCCAGCTGGCCAGGGCCCCACCTCTCCACCCCGCCTGGGTGGGGTCCTCACGGGCTGCTTCTCTCCCCAGGACTGGCCTTTTGATGACGGGGCGCCCCCGCCTGGCAAAGTGGTGGAGGACTGGCTGAGTCTGCTGAGGGCCAAGTTCTGTGACGACCCGGGCAGCTGCGTGGCCGTGCACTGCGTGGCCGGCCTGGGGCGGTGAGCGGCGTGCACCTGGGCTCTGCAGCCCGACTGCTCTGGGGTGGTGCTGGCCCACCCGCATGGGACCTTCCGGGGCTCACAGGCGGCCCCACAGCCTGGGGAGGAAGCCTGCGGCTCACCCGCTCCCTCCCGCATGCCTGCGCCGGAGCAGGAAGGGCGGCAGCCTCCCAGGGGGGCTCCTGCCCGCTACGGGACAGCCCTGGCTGACCAGCCGGTCCAGGCAGCCGGACCGCTCTGCAGGGGGAGGGCCAGCGGGTGGGCGGCTGCTGGGTGGAGTCCTGCCTGTCTCCCCTGCTCTCCTGCCAGCCCTCCCGCCGTCACGCTTTACACAAGGGGCCAGGGGCACAGAGAGGCCGCCTGGTCATCTGAAACTGCACAGCGGCGTCGGGAGGGAGCCAGGATTTGGGCACTGGATTTGGTGGGGCTGAGCTCCGAGCCCGTGCCCCGCATGGGGGTGGGGTGGGTGAAGCAGCAGGTGGCCCGTGGTGGGGGAGGGGCTTGGGGCTCGGCTGAGCAGCCCCGCATCCTCCCCCAGGGCTCCGGTGCTGGTGGCGCTGGCCCTCATCGAGAGCGGGATGAAGTACGAAGACGCCATCCAGTTCATCCGACAGTGAGTGGCTGCGGGGGGAGGGCAGGTGGTGAGCACCCAGGGGCCTGGGTTTTCAGCCCTTATCTGACATGCCCCATCCCGCAGGGCCCCAGTGTGCCGCCCACTGGCGGTCCTGCTCGCCCAGTCCCAGGTACCCCCACTATCCTGGCGCGCCCTCCAGGCCGAGAGGGAGGCCTGTCTTGAGGGGGGCAGATGCGCGAACTTGCTCTGGAGCTGCCTGATAGGCCCAGCCTGGCCGGAGGAGGCCTAAGACCCTGGCCCAGAGGCCCACGGAGCGGGTCTGGGCTGCTCGGCGTGGCCAGCCTCCGGACTCAGCCTGGGCCCTGCGGCTTCTCAGCAGGCTTCCAGGACGACCCCTCCTGTGGCTTGGGGCATCCTGGCGGCAGGCAGGGACGGCTGTCCATGCCTGGCTCCTCAGTCCTGACCCCACGACCCCTCCTTCCGTCCCCTGGTGGCCACGGCCTTGCTGCCATTTTATGGTCGAGGACCCTGAGGCTCAGGGAGGGGGTGTGACTTGTGCAGGGTCACAGAACAGAGGGGTCAAGCTGGGCTGCACCCCAGATCTGACTCCAGGGTTATGGCCCTCCGTCCTGTGCCCCTCAGAGGCCCCGGTGTGTGGTGGGGCCCGCACCGGGGAGTCAGCCAGGGAGGGATAGCAGTGAGTGGAATGTGAGGCCGGCAGGGAGACCCTGGAGGCAGGGAGGGGCGGGCGGGGCAGGAGCCTGGGGGAGGTGGGCTCTGCTGGCTGGTGGGGGAACACCTCCAGGGCCGTGGGAGAGCTGGGGTGGGCCGGCGGCCGCCCCCCTCCGCCCCACGCTGAGGCCCACGTCGCGTCTCCCAGGAAGCGCCGTGGAGCCATCAACAGCAAGCAGCTCACCTACCTGGAAAAATACCGACCGAAGCAGAGGCTGCGGTTCAAGGAGCCGCACGCGCACAGGGCCAAGTGCTGCGTCATGTAGCTCCGGCCTGCTCCGTGATGGTGGCGCACCTGGCCTGCACCTGGCCTGCACCTGGCCCCGCGCACCTGTGCCTCCCGACTCGCGCGGGCTTCCGGCTCCTGGCAGCTGGCGCCCCGCGCGCCCCCTGCCGGCCGCCCGTCTCCCCGCGGCTACGGGCACGACTGCGGGAGTCTGGATCCTTCCCTCTGTCCCGCGCCCTGGGCCCAGGCTCCGGCCCCTGAGTCCCTGCCCTGCGCTTGGCTCGGCCTCTCTGAAGCTTAGTCGGGCCCTCCCGCCAGCGCCCTCCCCTCACAGCCCCAGGCAGCTCTCCTCTCTGACCGGTTTGGGGGGTGGCGGGCGTATTTCTGGGCCTGTACCCTCCTCCACGGCCCTCCTGCTGACCTGTTCTCGGCTCCTTAACTTATTGGGTCTGGGGCCGGCCACGTGTTGTGGACACTCAAGGCAATAAAACGGGACCCCGTGACTGTGTGTGAGCAGACTGGGGTTCAGTGGGTGTGGGTGGATGCGCAGGTGCACTCAGGGCTGTGTGCCCCCCAGCTTCCCTGCTTAGGGGCCTGACAGGGGCCTTGACTGAGCAGGGCCAAGCTGGGTGTAGGGCCTCAGCCGGGGCACTTTGCTGCCCGGGGGGCTGGGGAGTTGGAGGCCAGGCCAGGCCCAGGGAGGGAGGGGAGGTGGGCAGGGGCCTGACCGGGTTTGGGATGGTGGCCTGGGCCTGCTGAGGGCCAGCTGAGGGCCTGTGGGCCTTGCCCAGCGCCCCTGTGTGCAGGCTGCAGGCTGCAGTGCCTGCCCCCACTGGGCCAAGAGAAAGTGCTCGGAGGGGCACAGCTTGGAGGAGGGCTGGCCGGGCTATCTGGTCTGCTCCCCCAGCACCGCCCCCACCAGCACAGCCCCCAGAGGTCTGTGCTGACCCCAGTTCATCCAGAGCCTGGCACCAGCCCAGAGCGGGGTCCAGGCTACTGTCCACTTGCACGTGCCTGCCCGCCTCCCTCCGTGCCCCTCCGCCCTCTGCGTGCTGCCCGCTGTAGGTGCGGGGCAGGGAGGCCTTTTGTAGTGCCGGGTTGTCACTCTCCTTTCCCGACGAGGCGATGGCCCGGGAGGGTGCCCTTGCAGGGCGTGCCTGGATGTGGGGGACCCTGCCTGGGTCTGCGCTGCGGGCCCTGGAAGGGGGCACCCTGGGGTGACCGGTGGGCTGTGCCTCCCTGGGCCTGTCTCCACCTGGCCTGCCACAGCCCCAGCCATGTGTGTCGGCTGGAAAGGAGCCTCAGTTTCCCCGAGGGCCTGGGCCGGCTGCTGTCTGCTTCGGGAACCTGTGGGGTCCAGCCTCCCGCCCCTGCCTTCACTGGAGGAGGGGACCGTGGAGGGCAGACCTCCTACCACTGCCCAGCATCAGCCAGAGGGGGCTGTGGGGACAGTCCTGCCCCAAGGGCCTGCCTCCCTGACCCCACCCCTTGGTCCCCAAGGAGCTCAGTGACACCAAGGCCAGTGAGTCTGAGTGAGGATGGACCAGTGGGCCAAGTGGGGAGCCATGAAAAGGCGAGCCCCCCAGAAGCCCTCCCCGGAGACTCCAGAGAGGACCCCAGGGCCCGCCACGAGCTTGTCCCCCCGCCCCCCAAGCCAGTCAGCCTGACGCTCTGTGAGACCCGCCGTATTGTTTTCAGCAAATGCCCAGGTTCAGGGGCCCCTTCGGGTGACGCTTCCCGTGTGGCCACATCCCTGCTCAGAGGTTCAGTCTAGTGGAGTGGGGTGAGACAGGCTGGGGTTCGCCCAGTGCAAAGCCGGGGGCCCGGGGGGCGGGGGCTTCCTCCTCAGGGGCCAGTGGGTTGGTCTTCAAAGGAGGTGCCGAGTGGGGGTGCCTGCAGGCTGGGGGTGCTGCCTGAGCAGGGGCATGGAGGTCAGTGTGACACTGGAGGGAGAGAGCGGGGCGGGGGGCCGGTGGTGAGGCCCCCAGGACTCCGGCAGGGTCTCTTGGGACCCGCCCTGGACCCAAGGCAGGAAGGGCCTGGCCGTGCATTTCACGGCTGCGGAGACCAGGGCTGAGGGGAGAGGCCGGGGGGCCGATGGATCCTCTGGACTCAGCCCCTGAGAGTCTCGGAAGAAGGTCCCAGAACCCGCAATACAGATGGACCAGCCGAGGCTCAGAGAGCCGAGACCCTCGCCTCTGGCCCCGCAGCCTGTCCAGGGTGGTCGGTGTCCCCACCCCGTGGGCCCAGGCTGGCCCCGCTGTCCACCAGGTTTCAGCTCCGACTGGACTCAGGAGCATAGGGGAGGGGTGGAGGGACCGGCCCAGGACCTGCCCCACCCTCAGTCCCTCTGCCCCCCGGGAGCCCCAAGCTGGGGACACACTGAAGACGGGGGGGGGGGGGGGGGCGGGGCCTCGGCCAATGGCCCTGTCAGCCGTGGGCCCCCAGGGGCCACCGAGGCTCTGGCTCCCGGGGCGGCGTGTCCCTGCTCTGGAGCCAAGGCCACCATCCGGGGCCCACGCGACTTGAGGTTTCCTCTGGGGCCCTGGCCTGCCCTCCACCCCCAGGCCTGGCCCTGTCCCCTGGTCCTGCCTGTGTCTTCTGGGGTTTGCCTCAGTCACGGGCTGGGGGGGGCCCTGGATGGGGGGTAGGGAGTGGACAGGTGTGACACTTCTTTGTGGAATCTAGATCTTTCTTCTGAATGGAAAAATGTGCAACCAGGCTCTGTGGACAGATGGGGCAGGGCTGCGGGCAGGGGCGCCCGGAGGTCACTGCTTGGCTGTGCCCGCCACCTTCTGGAGGAAGGAGAGCTGCCTGCTGGCGAATTCACGGATGCCAGGCTCCGGGTCTGCTTTGAGGTCTTCAAAAGCTCCAGGAGAGGAGGAGATGTCAGCGGCGTCCTGGCTACCCGCTGTCCCCCTGGGCAGCCCCGCTGCCAGCCTGGGAGAGTGGACTGGACGGCGCCCAGACCGCACCTCCTCTGCCTTCCAGGCCTGCGGTGCTTCCCGCCTCACCCACCCACTCCGCGGGCCGTCCTGTCTGGGAAGCCCCGCAGCCTTCTGGACCCGCTCAGGCCCGTGGAGGGGCCGCGAGGACCCCGGGTGGAGGAGGAGCTGCCTCCACCTCCGGCCGGCCGGCCGCTGCTTACTGCTGAACAGCAGGCTCATGTCCACTCGGCACACCATCCGGGTCACGGCCTGGGGGTGGTAGCAGATGGTGTACCCTGTGGGGCGGATGGGTACTGGCCAGTGAGGGGGCTTGTGGGGCCAGCTCATTCCCGTCCCCTCCGAGACTGCGGGGCTCTCACCCCCACTGAGCTCCTGGCGGGGAGGGGCTGTTGCTCACCAATGAAGCGCGCCGCCCAGGTCTTGATGTGGTGGTGGCGGCTGTGCAGGTAGCTGAGGGCCTGCGCCAGGTGGATGCTGAACTCCTCCTGGCTGCGGGTCATCTGGCCAGGGGACAGCAGGCCCGGCACTCGCTGTGGTCAGGGGGCTGCCCCTGCGACCCCAGGCCAGGCCCTGGCCCAGCCCCTGGGGCTGCAGTGCGGGGAGGAACCCCAGGGACGCCCGCCCCACCCCAGGCCCTCACCAGGCAGGTCCAGAGGAAGTGGCGGGCGCTGAGGCCCTTCCCCCAGGCCAGCGTGCAGAACAGGGTGTGCCGCAGTGGCCAGCGGAGCACCACGGCACAGCGGTAGAAGGCGAACTTGGCCTGCTGCAGGGACAGCTGGGGCTCACTGCGGTCTGCACCCCTCGCCTGGGCCCCGGGGCTCCGTGGGGTGGGAGGAAGCGGGGTGCTGGTGGCCCCCCTCAGGTGCAGCTCCCTCCCAGCCCCTGCTCTGCCCCCTGGGTGCGCCCTGCCCCCGGGCAGGCCCTGTGCCAGGGCATGGGCAGAAGGCAGCTGTGTTGTGATGACCGACACAGGACCTGGCTGGCACACAGTAGGGCTGGCGCACAGTAGGGCTGGCGCACAGCAGGCTTGACCACATTTCCACAGGCCCAGTGACCAGCCTGTGCCCTCACTGTGCACCATGCCTGGGGGCTCGGCGGCGAGCACGGAAATGGGCTTGCTGCACTGACTGCATCGCTGCCCGTGCCCCTGGGGAGGGGCAGACTGACCTTGGTCAGGGAGACCAAGGTGGGAGGCCTGACCGCTGCCTCCGGGTCCCCCACTGTTATCGGGCCCCACCCCTACCCCTCTGGGCCTGGCTCCACAGGGAAAGGCCACTGGCAGGCACTGACCGTGACCACGGCCGGGCAGTGGTCCCTCAGGTGCAGGAGCAGGGGCACCATGCTCTGGTGCACCTGGACCCGGAGGCCGCCGAGCTCCCTGCCCGTCACTGCTGCCACCAGGTCCCCAAACAGCGCCATGGCTGCCGCCCGGATCCTGTCCCGCTCCTGCAAGGCAGGGCCTCAGAGCCGCAGCTGCGCCTGGCCCCCGTGGGGCCTCCCCTGCAGCCCTCAGGCCCCGCCCGAGTGGGGTGAGGCTCCGGCTCCTCAGCTCTGCTCCTGGGCAGCCGTGCCACCCCCATCGGGCTGGGCTTCTGGGGCCGCAGCCTCAAGGACCAAAGTCAGTTCTCACTCAAAACCACATCCACACGCGCGGTGTCGTGACTCATGGGGCGGGACCTGCCCCTGGTCCCGGAGGAGCGCAGTCCAGGCATGCTGGCAGGCAGGAGGCCGGGCCGCGCGGGGCTGGAGAGACTGGTGGGTGGTGCAGCTCGGCCCATGGGGAAGGGCAGCCCCCACACACCCTGGGTCGACCCGCCCCCTGCACAGGATGCCCTGGGTGGCTCCCAGGCCTCCTCTCCCCGCTGGGGAGGCGGTGGGGCCTCCCTGCCTGCAGGGAAGGGAGTGGGGGCGGCACAGGAGGGCCCCCCATGCTCACGTCGTCGAAGAAGGACCGGGCGTTGATGGCCACGCCGAGGCTGTGGGCTCCCGCGCCGTGCGCGCCCAGACGGTGCAGCACGTCGGACACGGTGCCCATGATGCGCACCAGCACCAGCTCGCTGCTCTGGAAGAAGCCGCTCAGGAAGGGCGGCAGCTGTTCTCGGAGCAGGCCTGCCTGGGGGCGGCACGGGCTGCTGGGGCGGGGCGCCGGGCCCCCGCTTCCCTGCCCCGCGCCGCCCACCCCCAGGACAAACTGAGGATGCCATCCCAGACCCCTGTCCTGGCCCACAGCCCGCCCGGCGATCTCCACCCCAGCCGACAGGGCCCAGCCCGTCTGCACCAGGCGCTGCGGACCGCGGACGGGGCTCTCCCGGCCCCTGCAGCCTGGCCCTGGCTAAAGGCGCCTAGCCCCGTGCTGGGCGGCCTCTTTCTCCAACCCCCCATGGCGGCCAGAGGGTCCCTGCCCTTTCCTCCTCCTCCCGGCCCTGTCTTCGCTCCCACTCGTGGCCTCCTCGTGGGTCAGCTGGGGCCAGGGGCGGCGAGACGGCTGGTGAGGTGAGCACACGCTGGAGGCACGGGCTGCCCGGCTCGGGGGGCACCAGCGCAGCCCAGCTCTTCTGGGTCACCACCGCCATTTTCGTTTTTATCCCACTTAAAAGTCGTGGGTCCCTCCCAGGCAGGGACCCGCCGCGCGGGCCCGGCGCCTGGCCTGGCCTGTCCGATGATACGTCGGGAAGGAACCGGGGCGAGGCTGTCTCCTGACCCTCCCGCCCCGGGCCCTGCCCTCCACCGACGGCGCGGTGGTTTTCACAGCCTTTCAGCAAGTTTAGGCGACGCCGTGGCTTCCTAACCTCCGCTGCGTTTTAAAATATCGAGGTCGCTTCCAGCGAGCGAGTCACCCGCAGCCACGCTTTGTCGGCGCCTGCGGCGCGGCCTGCCCCGGAGGGCTGGGCACGGGGGACGTGGAGCAGGGCGGTGGGCAGGCCAGAGTGGGGGTGGCGGTGGCTGCTGATGTGAGATTTTGATTTTCAATCAATAGGACCAGAGTCGGCTCCGTGAGAAGGTGACAGCTGAGTAACTTCCAAGCAGCCAAGGAGGCGCCGGGAGAGTTTTCGCAGGAGGAGCCGCAAGTGCAAAGGCCTGAGGCAGGAACCAGCCTGCGCCCTTTGCGACGTGGCTTCACAGGGCCGGCTGGCTGCGGGCTGAGGGCCCACTGACAGGGAGGGCGGGCGGGCGGAGGGGAGGAGCTGCTGGCTTCAGCAGGCGCAGCGGTGATGTGGCTGCATCTGGGTGCACCGTGGGGGTTCTTGATCGACTGCATGCCCTTGAGGTTTAGGACTCAGTGTCTGGGACTTGACACCCTGGGTTGGCAGAGCCCCCGTCGATGGAGATGGGGCCGCAGAAGCGGGGTGGCGAGGAGCCCCCCGCCTTGTGACGCTGGCAAGCATCCAAGTAGGCAGATCTAGGCGCGGATGTCAGGCATCACCCCAGAACCCACAGCAATGGTGTCAGGAATTCGGGGGCCTCATGGGGGCTGTACAGAGGAGGCCAGTTTCCTTAGGACAGTACTACAGACCCTCTGTCCCCTGTTCATTAGGGGGTGTGGTGGCGATACTGACAGGGAGGCGGGGAGAGGCCCTCCCCGAGGTTCTCGGGGGCTTCAGGTCTCCCCACACGGCTCTCCCGGGTGTGGAGAGGTGTCTGGGGACTAGATGCTCTCCCCAACAACGCTGCCAAGGCGCCCCGGGAGCCCCATAACCTGACGAGGAAACAGAGGCTGGGGGGGCACGTGTCCTCAGCCTGCCCTGTGAGGCCCTGTGAGCCACACAGCCCAGGGCAGAGCCGGGAGCCGCGGGGGGCGTCCAGACCCTGCACCCCGCGAGCCCACGCCCTTACCTTCTCGGGGTGGAAGAGGATGTTCCCCAGGCCCTGCAGGCTCCACACGCGGACCTCAGGGTTGGGGTCCCAGAGACTCCGCGTCAGCAAGATCAGGGCCTCCTCTTTGGGGAGCACCTCCAGCAGGTCGGGGCTGTAGAGGAACTGGGGTGCCCCGGAGGACGGCGGTCAGGCCTGGCATCTCTCTTGGGGGCCCATGGAGTGTGGGCTCACGGGGGAGGGAGGGGCTCGGGCTCTGAGGGCGCCCTACCTCCGTGAGGATGAGTGTGGCCGCCCGCCTCTCCCGCTCCTCGGGGCTCTGCAGCTGGGGCAGGAGCTGGATGGTCACCGCTCTGATCTGCTGGCAGCGGTTCTGCACCATGGCCCTGGGCGGCAGGGCTGGGCTCGTGGGCACTGCCCGTGTCCCCTCTCCTGCCACCCCCACCAGCCGGGCCAGGGTCGGGCATCACTGAGGGCGCCAGCACCCTGCTGTCTGAACGAGCTCCTCCACACCCCAGCCGCCCTCTTGGTGCCAGGCCTGGGCCAGCCTGGGGTGGATGGAGGCAGGCTCGGTCCTGTCCCCAGGGTGGCCTCGGGCCAGGTGGGGCTGGGGGGAGACTGGGCACCACGGCTCCTGCTGGGGCCCAGCGGGGCTCTGCTCATGGGGGCCCCACTCACGGGGGGGCCCCGCTCATGGGGGGCCCCAGTCGTGTGTTCCCACACCCAGCTCCTGGATGGTGGTCTGGCGCCAGCCCTACCTGGCGAGGAGGCCCACGCCCTGCGGGTAGGTGTGAGCAGCCGCTAGGAGCTCCCAGGCGCTCTGCAGCTCCAGGTGGGCAAAGTCCTGCCAGTGCCCCGTGGTGGACAGCAGGCTCTTCAGTGCCTCCAGCGACGTGCTGCGGAGGGCGGGGGGCAGTCACTGGCCAGCCCGCCTGGGCTGGGCCTGGTGGACACAGGCTGGGGGCTCCAGGGTCAGTCTCTGACTGGGAGGGCACCTTCCAGGAGGCTGCCCCAGCTGGGCTGGGCACACAGTGTGGGGTGCTGTGCTCAGAGGAGTGGGCAGCTGTGTCTGTGGTGGGGGCTCCAGTTTGGAGCCGGGGTGCAGGGACAGAGCTGCATGGGCGAGCGGGGCTGGGGGCACTCACAGGGCACAGAGGGTGCTGGCTGAGCCTCGGGGGCCAGTTCCCTTTAAACATGGGCTCCGAGGACAGCAGGCAGGAGGTGCTGCGGGTGCCTGAAAGCCCAGGGCCCGTCCAGGGGCAAGCCCTGCCCCCTGCTGTTCCAGGTGCCTGTCCCCAAGTCCTGGGGGACTCCCCACTGTGGCCCAGAGAGGTGCTGGGCCCTGTCCTGGTCAGATGGCCTGGCCAGCGGCCCCAGGCCCTACACCGGCACACATTTGTCCAGGGGCTCGGGGCTGCAGGCCGGACACGGGCAGGGGCTGGGATGGCGCCCGGCCACAGAGCCGGCTTTGAGAGGCCTGGCCCTGCCCGCTTGCCCAGGACGTGCCCCCAGGACGCGGGTCTGCCGCAGGCCGCCTGGCCAGGTGCTGAGGATGAAGGTCGGCTCCCTCCCACGGTGCCAAGCCTGTGCCAGCTGCTGGGGTACCCAGGCTGAGCTGCCAGAGGCAGCGTTTCCCGGTCCCCGGCGCAGCCTCCTGGCGAGGCCATGCTCAGCGACGACACTTGTGCCTCCGACCCCACTCTTGGAGCTTCTGGCCCCGGCGCCTGGGTGTTGTCTTCTCCGCTGCCCGTCCCGGCAGCCACACGGGCGTCTGGAGTGAGCGGCTCCTGCTTGTGGGCTCCGATGCCCCCAGGACTCTGCTGGGACCCCCAAAGGTGGGGTCCTTCATCTCCCGCCCTGTGGGGCTGGCCCCTCTTCCTGCGTCCCTCCCCTGGGCCAGCCTCCTCTAGCCTCACGCCCAGCGCTGCCCCCCAGGAGCAAAGGCTCCCAAGGACGGGGAGGCCCGGCCCTTCCCGGGGCAGCCAGACCAGAGATCATGCCTCCCCTACCCCTTGTACCCCTTTGCTGACTCCATCCTGACTGTGAAACACAAATGGTGTAAAACTGACCATCTCCCCGCTTTTAAATGTGGTCTGCGGCGTCCACACTTTGCCGTCGTGCTCAGGGTGCCCAGCTCCAGGACATCCTCGAGGAAGTGGCCCCGTCAGCCCCCGACCCCGTGCCCCGTTCTGTCTCCAGGAACCTGACGGCCCCAAGAGTCCGGAGAGGGGCCTCGCGGCTGTTTGTCTTTCTAAGTCTGGCTCATCTCCCCGCGGACCGCACCGTTGGCCCCCGTCGTGGGGTGTCCAGAAGCTCCTCCAAGGCGGGGCCCTGTCTCCTGTGCCGACGGCCCCCGTGTATTTATCCAGCCGTGTGTTGTGGGGCTCCTCCTGGGGACCCGCTCACGCCCGGCGGGTGGTCAGCTGTGGCCAGCCTTGGCGACGCGCCCATCTCCCAGGCGTCCACTCGACTGGCCACACGCACAGGCCTCGGTCTCCGCCCCCGCCCCAGCACCCGCCGCCTGCGCTGTGATGGTGCTGCCCTCGCGAGCGGGCGGGTCTCCATCGCCCCGAGCCTTGGCCGGGTCCCGGTGGGGTGGAGGCCGAGAGGCCGGGGTGAGGGTGTGGAGGCGGGAGGCACCCAGGCGTGTGGAGAGCCGGCTCCAGGCTGCCCGGCGAGCGCTTTCCCCCACGCGTGGCACGGCCACCGCGGCCCCAGCACAGGGCGAGGAGAGGCGCCGGCCTCCTCTTTCTGACACGGGATCCGGCCATGCTGACGTGGACGTCTCCGCGCCCGTCAGGTGTGGCTGGGGGAGGACAGGCCCCTCGCCTCCCTTGTCTTTGCAGGCGTCCACGCTGATGGCCTCTCCTTGCTGCTGCCCTCTGCCCTCTGCCTGCCCTGCCCATCAGGGGCTGTTGCCCATGCCGGCCCCTGTCAGGGCTCCCCTCCACCGTGAGCTGGAGGCTCGGGTGCCGGCTCCTGGGGACGCGCACGGCGTCTCCTTCCGGCACTCTCCTGGGTGTCCTTGGTCCCCAGGCGGTGGCTCGGTCCTGTCTGCCACCTGTGTGGCAGACGCTCTGTGAGGGGGGGAGCGTGGTCTGGGACGTGACGAGCGGCGGCTGATGTGTACGAGCGAGCGGGGGGCACAGATGGGTCCTGGCAGCCCTCGGCGGGGCATGCCGGGCCCTGGCCTGTCACTCCTCACCACCCAGGGCTGTGGGGGACCTGGGCAGGAGTGGGGCCCCAGGAGATGGATAGCAGCCTGCTTTCTGGGCCCCCCATGTTGTGGGGTGCTGGCAGCAGATGCCAGGTGGCTGGCGGTGTGGGGGAGCAAAGCAGAGAGGGTGCAGTGGCTGCTTTGGAGGAGATTGAGGCGAAAGGCAGGATGTTTGGGGGAAGAGCTTTCAGGAGGGGGGAGGAGCAGCACGTGCAAAGGCCCTGAGGCAGGAATGGGGGGGCTTGAGGCTCGGCTGAGGCTGCAGTGGAGGGTGTGGACGGGTGGGGGGGTGTGGCAGGAAATGAGGTCCAGGAGGTAAGTGGGGTCAGATGCAGAAGAACTGCAGGCCACCAGGATGACGTAGGCTTCTCCTGACTTACCTGGGCTGGGGGCAGGGCTCTGGGCACAGCTGTGGTCTGGATTAGGTGGGTCCTGGGGATGGGTGGGGTGCCCAAGAAGGGAGGAGGGAGGGAGATGAGGGCAGGCGGCCGGAGAAGCAGACGGGGCGAGGGAGCCCCTCGCAGCTTCCTCCTAAGCCTCCTACGTGCTGGGAGGAGACGGTTTTATTAGCTTATTAGGGAAGATTCATGCATTTCGCATGGATGATCGGAATGAAAAAGGAACTTCATGCACATTTGAATTCAGAAGCAGTATGAGAGGAGGCGGCGTTTTTTTCAGCGTCGCGCCTTGGGGAGAGCTGCTAACGCTGACAGGCTGCCGGGTGCACGCACCGCACAGGCAAATTGCTCCAGCGGATTTAAAGACGCGCTTACTGGGTTTCCCCGAGCAGGCCCTGGCGCTGGGGTGACACGGCGGCTGTGGGCCTGGCCCCACACGGCCTCACCCGCACCTGGCAGGCCCTGCCCACGACGTCCCTGCAGGCCCAGCCAGGGCCCAGCCAAGGAGGGCGTCGCCCAGGCTGAGTGGCGGTCGGGACGCGGCCATTATGGGATCTAGCTCAGCCCCACGGACATCCTGCGTGGCTCAGGGGAGCCTCTGGCCCTCCCCGTGCCTCAGTTTCCTCGTGTGGAAAGCAGGGACGACCACATTCACCTCGTGGGATTCTCCGCAAGGACCTTGTCTGAGGAACGAGACCGTCCATGCCCCTGACGCCCATGGCCACTAGCATCTGCTGCCCCATGTCCTCGGGCCGCCCAGGAGCTGGCGGTGCCGGCGGCCACGCCAGTTGGGGGTTGAATGGCATCGCCCCCAAAAGCTCTGCTGCAGCCCCAACCCCACGGCCCAAGAGCGCACCTCTGCGGGGAAAGCGGACCTCGGTGGATGTGACCAGGTCGAGATGAGGTCTCCAGGGTGGCCTTGCCTAGCTGTGCCCCTCTAGGAGAAGGACTCTGAGGCCGGGGTGCACAGAGGCCACACCACAGTAACGGCCGAGGGACGCACAGACCCCAGGAGACAGCGGAAGCCGAGAGGCGGTGGCAGGGCCCCTGCGGTCTGAGGGCCGGTGCAGCCACATCGCCATGGGGCCCAGGGGCGGCTGCCTGCTTGCCGGCCCTTCTGCATGGCCCGCACCGGGTCCCTGGGGTCCGTACCGATGCGGGTGGGGTGTGGCTGCATCCTGGGCCTCTGGGCAGGGCGTGGGCTCCCTGGGCAGGTCCAGCTCCAGGACGTAGTGCGTCTGGGTGAGCAGGGCCAGGAGCAGCTTGGGGTAGGCCTCCTGCACCGCCTTCTTGAATTCCCGGGTGAACTGCAGCTCGTGCAGCAAGTTCATGGCCTGGGGGGAGGGGGTGCTGGAGCTCCCCAGACGGGACAGGCCTGCGCCCTCCCAGGAGACCCCCACCCTGTTGTGCCTCCCTCCCTGCTAACAGCCTCCAGGACCGAAGCCGAGTCCCTGCGACATCCCTCCCCTGGCCTCCACCAGAACCCAGGGGCTGGCCCGGGCCCCAGGTGCCCTTCCTGCGGGCTGGATGGACGTCCACAGCCTGAGCTGGGGCTCCCCCTCCTCGGGCCTGCACACTGTGGGGGCCCAGAGGCCGCTCCTACGTGCAGGAGCGGCCCAGGGGTGGCTGGGGCGGGTGCGGGCGGTGACAGACTCACGGCCAGAGAGCGCAGGTAGGGCTTCTCCTTGGGGGGCGGGCCGCCCGCACTGGCACCAGTGGGCAGGGGCCTCTCCTGCAGGCAGCCCAGCAGGATGGCCAGCACCTGATGGCTCACGTGCAGCTCGGCGCCCAGGGCCCGCCACAGGCGGAGGGTGTGGCTGCAAGCGGAGAGGGCTGGTGAGGCCAGTGCTGCCCGTGGGCCTGGCTGGGGCAGAGGCTGGGCCAGGTCCTGAACTGCACGGGGCGTGTGGGAGGCTGAGGGTGGACGAGACCATTGCACATAGGGAGGGGGGTTCGGGGAAAGGGCTTTGGGGGGCAGGGAGCCCTGCCGGTGCCCCTTGCTTCCCAATTTGGGCCTCCCCCTCTTGGAGTCTCCCCTCCAGGCCCCTCTCTCCCCGTGGCAGACCCCGACTTTGTCACCCTCGGAGGCTCCAGGTACTGGCAGGACAGCCCAGCTGGTGCTCCAAGCTCTCGCTCTCTGACCCTTGCCTTCTGCCCTCCAGCCCCTGCCTGCCGCGCCTCTCGTATCCTGCTTCTGGGTCTTTACACCTGTAATTCCTTCCTCGCCCCAACCTCCCCCAGGCTTTATGGCCACAAAGCCACTTCCTTCTGGAAGCCTGCCTTGGTTACTTCCTCCCCAGCCTGGGTTTGCTGGGGTCCGGCTCCCCAGGACCTGGCCTGGCCAAGTTGGGGGCTGTCACTGGTACGTGCAAAGCTTTGTGCATTTTTCAGATGGGGAGACTAAGGCCTGGAGAGAGAGGGGGCCCCGAAGGGGGTGCAGCCTGCAACCTCGGGCTGGGACTGGAGGCAGGCCTGCTGGTCCCGTGGCCTTTCTCCCTGGCCCAGCAGCCCCACTGGGCTGCAGGGGTAGGGAAAAACCAAGGGGCCATCTGGAGCTTTGGCTGCAGGAGCTGGGAGGATGGAAATCCAGGCCTGACAGAGGAGGTCTGCAAGAGGGGCAGGTTGGAGCCTGGGGTGTGCCAAGTGGGGAGTCCCTGCCAGATACCCGCTGTCCCCCAGCACCCCGGGGAGTGTCCTCGTGAGCTTAGTGCTGTTTCAAGTCTCGCAATGGGAGTGGCCATGTGAGGCAAGCACTCGAGTAGTGCGAAGTAGCTGGCAGGCCCACGGGAAGGGAGGCAGGGGGGCGGGCACCACGGAAGGTGGGGCGGGGAGGCAGGCGAGAGGGCCCCGGGGATCTGGGTGCGGCCGGTGGGCGTGGAAGCTGCGAGAGGCCTGGGAGAGCTGAACTGTGGTGCAGGCTGGCTGAAGAGGCCGCCATGGACCTCTGGACAGCAAGGCTGTGGCATGGTCACGAGACAGTGGCCACCAGGGGCGGGAGGGGTGCACAGGGTACACGGTGGTGACGTTGGGGGGAGCTCCCAGCATGAGACCAAATGGCAGGTCTGTGCAGTGACTCCATAAGCCACAGATGTGCCCGTGAAGCTGGAGCCCTAACGCTGGCCACGGAGATCGGTTCACGTTAGAGTCGCGGTCAGCGCACACGCCCTGGCTGACGGGGAAGGCCGCCCCGAAACGGTGGGGAGGGGGTGGGGGCTTTGTGTCTGGCTTAGCTCTTCTGCAGCCTGCAGCTGCTCCAGAGAATAATGCCTATGAATTTAAGGAAAAGAGAACAGAAAGAGACACGCTGAGAGAAAAACTGCGCGACACAGTGCAGAGCAGAATAAACTGAATATTCGACAACGGAGACGTGAAACCCGCACAAGCATTAGGTCGGGAAACAGACCCGGGGCACAGCTTTTATAGGAGCTGTGACGGCTGCGGTGAGAGGCTACGGGCCTGCTTCCGAGGAACAAGGCCACACAAGGGGGGTGAGGGAGGCCGAGCCCAGTGGGCCCCGCCACGGCTGGGGGTGGCCTCACAGGCCAGCTCATCCCTTGAAAGAGTCGCTGCTGTGAGAAGGAAAAGCAGAGCAGGTCACAGCCGGTGCGATGGCCTGCAGGACCTACCACGAGTGTGGACTGGCCTGGCGTGGCCTTGGGCCCCGGTCAAGTGAGGGTGGCGCTTGAGGGCACGAAGCAGAAAGAGAAAGGAGGGGAGCTGGCAGGCCCATTGGAGTAGCTCTCTAGAACGCGAAGGCCCAGGCCTGCAGGGCAGTCTTGAGGACTAGGCGGGCAGGCAGGAGAGCGGTCAGGGAGCGACAGCCACAGCGGGGCATTGGCACGGGGCGGGGAGCAGCACCTGGCAGAGCACCCGAGCCGGGACCCCCTGGTGGGCACAGGGCTGGGGCCCCGGGGGCTTCAATGAATGACGAGGGACAGTTATGTGAAACCAGGTTGCCCCCCGCACAAGTCGTGAACATCACTGTGGGCACGTGGGGACTGGATGTAGAGGTGGGGCGAGGGGTGGACTTTGACAGTAAGTCTGTGCAGGACGAGACTCAAAACTCCTTTTGATCAAAAGGTGTCCACGAGCGTGGAGGGGGTGCTGAGGGAGGGGACGTTTCCAACACGACAGCGGACGGAGGACTTGCATCCAGGTGACACAAGCATCCCTACCGTCGGCAGGAGGAGGGCACAGCCTGACAGAAGAACCTGCAGGATGCCCGTGACTCTTTCAGTTGCCACTAATACAGAATGTCTAGTAAGTTATGATCTATGAGTCATATCGACAAAAGAGGGTGCCGTTGACTTGAAATCCTTTAAAACAGTCCAGCAGTGTCTTATAGGAACAGGAGAAAAATGAACAGATTCATAGAGTTACTGCAAAAAAAAAAAATCAGAAATAAAAATCAACACACATCAAATGAGGCCACTCTTACTCTGGAAAAAAAACATATTTCAGGAAAAACTGAAATATCTCCAAGGGCAGCTGAACACACAAGCAAGCATCTGAAGATAGGAAAACCCACCTGGAATTAGAAATTCCAACAGAAGGACCAAAAGGAACTCAGTAAGAAAGTTGACTGAATTCAGGAAAGAGATGGAGAAAGAGACAAAATTATTTCCAAAGCAGAAAAAAAAAATGGGTGCCCACGAGTGATAAGACTCACATGAAGATTTTGGAAGGAACGTTGAGGAAAAGCAGAAAAGCAACCACGAGCTACACTTGAGAACGGAGGAGGACAGAGAGAAGGGAATGCAATCGGAACAGGCCAAGAAAGAACAGCATTTGTATTACCGGAGTTTCTGAAGAAGAAATTGGCAATAGAACAGAAACAGCAAGAATAAGAACAAAAGACCGGGGACTATAAAAATAAAATTAAAATAAAATAAAATAAAAAAAAAGAACAAAAGACCTACATCTGTACATTCCAAGGACCCACCAATTACCCGGGAGAGTAACACAGGATGATTGACTCAGACATTTCTTAGCCATCTAACATTGTTACATTTCAGAGATAAAAAGACTCCCCAAGGTGGCCAGGCAAAAATATCAAATAACTTACAGAGGCAAAAAATTATCAGAATTTTCAAAAACAAAGCAGGCAATAATTGGGTTGCATTTAAATAATAAAAGAAAGTGTGAACCAGAGGTTTCATACCCTTCCTGGCTGTTCTTCAAGTGAACCACTTTCATCAACTTAGGGAGCCTCAAAGGGCCGGGGGACCGCAAACCACGAGCCTTCCCGGAGGACCCAACGGTGAGTTCCACCAAGTAAGAGCTGACCAGACCCTCTAGCAAGGGGATGACGGTGATTGTGTGTGGACACGCAACAGCAACAGTGGGAATGAGAGTGTTAGTTTCCATAAAGCAAGAATGTGGAACTGAAAAAATAGAAGGGAGCTAGAAGGAGGAAGGCAGAATAATCTCACTGATTGTTATATGGGCAGTGGTGTGAATAATGGATAGCAATAAAAATTAAAATGGAAAGCAAAAACAAAAAATGAATACACCAGATATTAAATAGGTTAAAAAATAAAACATGGGATGAAGGGCATTGAAATGGGCGAAGAGCACAAAGTAACATCCAGAACAAAACAAAACCCTTCCCCAGAAAAAATGAAAGAGCAAGAGCTCACATCTCATGAAAAAAGAGAAGTAGCAAGTAAAACAAAATATACACAATCACAAGATATTGTGACAGAGCTGAGACCCAGCATATAAACTGAATCCGTATCAATGAATGGCTTCAACTCAGCTTTTAGAAGAAAATATTTTTTTTTAAGATTTATTTATTTATTTATACAAGCACTGGGTACAGTCAGACATGCAGGAGGGTGAGAGAATTCCCCAGAGCCAGAGTGGGGAGCAGAACAGGCAGACTGACGAAGCACACTGCTGAGGGGAGCAGCGGGCGGCAGGAGAGGTCTGCGCGCCATGTGGGACCCTTGCCGGCGGCTGGGGATTGAACCGGCGCTGCAGAGGTTACAGGCAGCTTCGCAGCCCAACACTCAACCCCTGCGCCACCGGGGAGGCCCAGAAGAAAATATTTTTTATTTGGACCACAAAAAGGCCAAAGTACATGCTGTATGTAAGATGACACCTAAAACACATGGGTTCTGAAAGGTTAAGATGAAAGGAAGGAAAATACATACTTGGCAAATGGCGAACAGTAAGGGTCCTGAACAGATGGGCAGGGACCCCGGCCACAAAGTCTTCGAAGCCTGTCACGTGACAGGGCAGAGCAGTTTTTAGCGCTGAAAGTCTCGGTTCATGAGCAGATACAACACCTGTGACTATGTATGCACCAAGTAACACGGCAACCACGTGCATGAGGCAGAACCCGCAGGAGATGGGGGAGGCACAGAAACCCAGTGATAACAGCAGACTGGACGCGGTGTTCCTGGCACAAGGCACAGCAAGTGGTTCTAAACCAAGCACAGATGTACGAGACTTGCATGCACGATACCGTCCGCCCAGAAAGTCCTGTGGACCGGGACGCTCTGCTCCCGGGGGGCGGGTCATGCACCTTCTTTTCAAGTGTCCACACAACACTCACAACAGCTGTCTCAAATACCAGCGAGCTCCACAACGTAGAAACGCTGCAGCCCACATCCTCTGATCACAATGCAACAAAACTGCAAATGACAGATGACACAGAGCAGCCACCCCACGGGGAAAGTAGAACTCGTAGAAATCGTAGAATCGTAGAAAAGCAGAAAGTAGAATCGTCCTGGAAACAAGTTTAGGCACTGGCAGTTGGGGGTTCTCTGTGGTGGCTCCTGCCTCTCAGTGAAAGGGACGTGAGGAGAGACTGAGGGTAAGGAGGGGGGGCTGGAGAAGGGCAGCGGGCGGGCGGGCAGCCCCGGGGGCCTGGGGCTGTGTGTGGCCCGTGCTTTCTCCTGCACTGGCTGTTCTGGCAGGTGTGAAGTGCGCGAGTGTGTGGGGGACAAGGGACTTAGAGGTGTTCAGGGAGTGACCGCCACGGTGGGCGATGGATGCTGGAAGCGGGGAGAGGAGGGATGTGAGGGGCGTGGAATGTGAGCTGGTCTGGGAGGACAGACGTTGCTGGGAGACGGGGCAGTGAGCTCAGGGTGGGAGGTGGTTGGTGGTGCCGGGAGATGCGTGGAATGGAGGGGAACGAGCCAGGGGCTGCCCGTGGGGTGGGTGGTGGAGGGAGAGGGGCCGCTGGGAGACTTCAGAGGGAGGGAGATGCGGGAGGCTCCGCCATCAAGATGGGCGTGTGGGAAGTGTGTCTGAGACCAGGCGCCCCATGCTCGAGGAGTGATGGGGGACCCGGGGCCGGCTCAAGGTGCAGGGGGCAGGCAGTGTAGACCCAGGATGTGGGATTGGGAGCTGGGGTTCTAGGGAGGGAGGAAGAGCACCGGCCCCGGGCCCAGGCCTCCGCGAGGAAGCCGGAAGGGCTGTGGGTGCTGCGGGGTGTGCGGTGGGGTCTGCAGGAGCAGGGCAGGGGGCCCTTGCAGGCTTTGGCGCTGGCTGGGGACTTGGCAGCAGCGCCAGGCCCGGGGCCCCTCTCCGTGGATGACGGTCATGCTGGGGTGTTGTGTGTGGCGCGTGGGGATGAGTGGTGCGCGGGCAGCTCAGAGCCAACTCAGCAGGGGTGCGGTGGACCAACAGGTGTGTGGGCTCCATCCCTACACCGAGTCCTGGGGTCCCCGCGGGCTGTTAGGAGTCAGACAGCAGGGCGGAGCTGAGGTGGAGGCCCTGCCCCGCCTTGGGAGGGGGCGGTGGGGGCTGGGAGGGAGGGGGGCCGGGCACCTGTCCAGGGCGATGGAGATGTCCAGGAAGGCGGTCACCAGCTCGGAGGTGTGGCTGCGGGCCAGCAGGGTGATGGCACGCAGGGCGTTTTCCTTGGCTTGGGGGATGCGGACCGAGCAGAGATGCAGGTGGATGGCGCGGCCCAGGTTGGAGACCTGCACGGGGAGGGAGAGCGTGGGGAGGGGCCTGTCCGAGGGGGCCGAGGTCCTGGCCCGGTGGACCTGGGGCCCTGCCTCGGTGAGTGACGGGTTCTTCCGACAGGTCCTGTCCTGGGCGGGGCAGAGCAGGGAGAGGCGGGGGTGTCTCTGCCCTGGGCACCGTCTGAAGGGAGGTCCCGTTTGAGGGGACACAGGTCCACTGGCTTTTGTCTGGCACGTGAGCCTCCAAAACTGCCCGACTGGCGCTGGGTCACTGGAAGGTCCAGGCACCCGCCATGACACCTGGACACAGCCCCGGGCTGGAGGGCCTGGCCCTCAGAGCTCAGCTCCAGGGCGCCCCAGGGCGGCGTGGCCCAGGGACCGGCTGCCTGGTCGCTGTGCTGCCTGTCCTGTGTCCGTGCGTCTCTCCCTCCATCAACAGAGAGCTCCTGGCGGTCGGGCCGCGCCTCTTCCACCGCTGCCCCCACGTCCCCACCACCGTGTCCCCACCTAGGGCCTGGAGCACCAGCTGGTGCGCTCGTCCCGCGACCCCCAAGGCCACCCCGGGGCCAGGACCCTCGCGTGGGCCCCTCCCGTGGTGGCTGCGGCCTGCACTCGCTTGCGGGGCGCAGAGGTGGCTGCAGGGGTGGGGTGGGGTCTGTGTCCCCCCAGCGGGCCCGAGCTCAGGGCAATGCCTTGCCGTGGCACCCTGTGCGGGGCCCGAGCCGGGGTGCCCCCGCCCTGCCCGTGCTCACCATCTCCAGCCGGGGCCCGTGCTCCCGGGCCACAGCAAGGAGGACCTCGGCGGCCGCCTGCACGCGGAAGGGGCTGGTGGAGCCCAGGCCGTCCACGGCGGTCCAGGCGGCGTCCATCAGCTCCACCGTCGTGAGGTGCTTCGTGACCTCCTGCAGCGGAGGGGGTGCCGTCATCCCGGCCTCCACCCCCGCTTGGCTCTTCCCCCGTCTCCCGTGTCCCCGGCTCCCCCAGCCTCTGAGGGCCCCCGGGCTCCAGAGCCCCCCCTCACTCCCCGGCCGTGGGCCCCACTTTGGGTTTTATCACCTGCACGGCTCTCTGAGCCACCCGCGGCCGGGGCAGGCGGGGAGGGCAGACTCGGCAGCCTCCGCCCCTGCTCTGCCCGGCTCTCACCTTCCTCACCTGCCAGCCTCAGCCCCCCGCGCCCGTGCCGGGGCCAGGTCTCCCACAGGGTTTTGGTCACAGAGCACCCGAATTTCAGAGCTTCGAAGGCGCCTCGAGGTCTGCCAGGACCAGGCCTGGGCCAGAGGCTGGGAGCCTGCGGCCGCGGCGCAGGGAGGGGTAGCTGGGCCGGGCAGCCCAGGCCCCGAGCTCGGCGCCCCAGGACCCTGACTCTGCTCGGGGCCCAGTTTCTCCCTAAAGGTCTGGCCTTTATCACCTGCCGGACAGCCTCAGACCAGGCCCGAGGGAGGGCTGCCTAGGCCGGACCTCCTGGAAGACACAGAACCAGCCCCACGCATCACATGAATTTCCTTTAAGTCAAATTGAAAATCCAGTTCCTCAGTCTCACCAGCCACACCCCAAGTGCCGAAGTCCCGTGGCTGGCGGTTCCCTGCGGTAGGCGCCCCCCATGAGCACCACCAGTTGCTGATGCAAAGCTCTGTCTTGGGGCATCCGGTAAGCAAAGGAAACGAGATGGTAGAACGTTTCTTTGTATGTGAGGATATTTATTGAAATATCTGAAAATCCATTAGGCTGTTTGCATGTGTATCAGAATATAAACAAGTGGTAAGTAACAGAGGCCGGAATGTCTAGTATAATCTTACTCTGAAAGTCTGTAAGGGGTTTGTGAAATGTCACACTATTAGTTGGCTAGAAGGCTCAAATAGTTTTAATGGAGTATTTGCACTCACAGAATAACTTTTTTTAGACTATCAGGCTATTATAAATCTGGTTAGAACATTTGCCAGAAGAGTAAAATTAAAATCTTGTGCTGAAGTGTTAAATTTTAGAATGTGAAGCAATTCAACTGAGAATGGCGGTTAAACTCCCAGTAGCCAAGAATAATATAATGTTAGGATTGGTGAGTAATTTTGACTTTAATTACTTAAACCCAGTATATAAATAAATCTGAGGCATGTGACGGTATAAATGGTGATGGGGTGATGATGGCGGTGATGGGGTGTTGGTGATGGGGTGATGGTGGTGGTGATGGGGTGATGGTGGTGGTGATGGGGTCATGGTGGTGGTGATGGGGTGATGGGGTGGTGGTGATGGGGTGATGGTGGTGATGATGGCGGTGATGGGGTGTTGGTGATGGGGTGATGGTGGTGGTGATGGGGTGATGGTGGTGGTGATGGGGTCATGGTGGTGGTGATGGGGTGATGGTGGTGGTGATGGGGTGATGGTGGTAGTGATGGGGTGATGGTGGTGATGATGGCGGTGATGGGGTGTTGGTGATGGGGTGATGGTGGTGGTGATGGGGTGATGGTGGTGGTGATAGGGTGATGGTGGTGGTGATGGGGTCATGGTGGTGGTGATGGGGTCATGGTGGTGGTGATGGGGTGATGGGGTGGTGGTGATGGGGTGATGGTGGTGGTGACGGCATGTTGATGAGCGAGCGGCGTATCAAGCCCATGTGGAATCCGGGCACGCCTGGGAGCAGAACCCAGGTGGCTGCTCCGTCACAGCCCTCCCTGGTCACATTCCACGGATTAGCAAACCCTCCGTCTTCACTTCTCTCCGTGCTCCCGTCCTCACGGTGCAAGGACAGGCAGTGCTCCAGGCCCACTCCCTGTGCGGCGCAGACCGCCTGCCCCGCCCGGACACCATCTCCTGGTCACTCAGACCACCAGAGGGTCCCGGGTGCTCTGGGCCCTTCGCTGCCGGCCCCCCTGGCTAACTGGCAGCCGGCGGGACCTTCCCTCCTGCGTGCTTCTGCCCCAGCCCAGGTTCTCCGGTCAAGCCAGGTTCCCCACTGTGGGCCTTTTCCTTTGAACTCCCCGTCGGCGTCAGCCCTCTGGGAGCTGCTGCGGCACGGCGCGCACGGGCTCCGGCGTTAGCCTGGCCGGCACGTCCGAGCTGCGAGCTGCCGCTTGTCCCCGCTGGTCAGTCTGCCTGACTGCGGGCGCGCATGCGAGCAAGGCAGCTCTACTGCCAGGCCCGGTGCTGGCTCTGGCGGGACCCCGCCGGGGCTGGAGACTTCCCGGGGAGGCGGTCCTGCACCGAGTCCCGGGGTCCTTGTGAGCACGGGCTCAACACCGAGGAGGGGCGGCGGGGGCCACGGGCCGGAGACCCCGTGAGCGAGCGTCAGAGTACGAGGGCCTCCCGCGCAGAGGCCGCCCCTGCACCCCCACCGCCCCGCTCACAGCGACACGGACATTGCAGGGGTGTGGGGCTTCAGCAGCCCGAGGTCTGGCCACGCTCGGCCGGATGATGGTGGGAGAGATCTGCCTGATGGCCCAGAAGAGGGCCGTGCTTCTCCAAAGGTGAAGAGAGGCGCCGGGAAGGGGCTGCAGAACGGCCACGCTGAGAAACAGCACTCAGGGAGGGGAGCGGTGGGGCTGGCCGCCTGACCGGGGGACATGCTCCCCACCTTGCGCGCCTGCCGGGCGCCCCACAGAGAACCTGCAGCGGTGCCCCCGCAACCCGGGCGCCACCACCAGCCACCGCGCTGATTTGCAGAGGAAGCCGGGACCAGAGAGAAGGGGCTTGTCCCAGCCCAGGGCCCAAGGGCAGAGCTGGAACTCAGTGGAGCCGCAGAGCCGGGGTCTCCCTCCAACTCCCCCTCCCCGGCCAGGGACTCCAAGCCTCGCTTAACTGCCCAAGACGCAGGCCAGATCCTGGCCTCGGTTTCAATCCTCACACCCTGCCCAGCTGAGCTGCCGGGCCCACCAGTAGCCTGCGCCTAGTCTGAGGGGGCCACAGTGGGGTCCAAGCCACCTCCCGCAACCCCCACCATTCCGAGGGCTTTGACCTTGATCACTTGGGAGCTGCTGAGCTGGAAGATGCGGTCCTCCGGGAGCACCCCCTCCAGGGGGGTGGGGCGAGGGGCCTTCTGGTCCCCACTGCTCCAGAGGGGCTCCCTGTCCATGCTGGCTTGGGAAGGCTGCCTGGAGGCCAGCACGTCCACTTTCGAAGCTTCTCCTGCTGACCCTAGGGGGGCGGGGCAGCCATGCACAGGGTAAGGCCAGGCAAGGCAGACTTGGGGTCCCAGATGGGACAGGCAGGAGGAGTCAGCAGGGGTGGCTGATCGAGGGTCAGGCCTGGGCCCGGGCTGGGCACATAAGCCAGCGTGGGTCTGCAGGTCAAGGCTATCACAGGGCAGGGTTGGGTGGGAGGTGGGGTTGGTGCTGACTGGGGTGAACGGAGGCCCAGAGGCTGGCTGGGTGGGCTGAGGCCTCGCTGGGCTGGAGAGGGCCGGCCTGGCGCCGGGCTTACCTCTCTGGCGCAGCAGGAGCAGGTAGAGGTGGCTGAGCCCCTCCAGGCTGGAGCGCTGCGTGGTCTTGTCTGGGTCCCGGCACAGGATGCCCAGCAGGCCCACCAGATGCCCCATCTGCCTGAAGTCCTCTTTCGGCTGTGGGGAGGGTGGGGGCTGTCATGGCTGGGCTCCCCGTGGAGCCCCTGCTGCTCCCACACCGGCCAGGCCAGCAGCGAGTGGGGTTGGCCCCTCAAACTGGGTGACAGCGCTGGGGCTGGGGCTGGCGAGATTTAAGGGGCCGGGACAAAACACCTCAGAAATCCAGGGACACTATTTTACCATCATATTAAGAAAAATCAAAATAAGTGCAAAAAATTATGATGCACCAGCCTCAACTGCGAAGACAGACGGGCGCCTGCTGGACACAGGGCCCGCCGTCCGCAGCTGGAGCTTCCCTAAGGAGAAGCCCAGGAGGGCAGCGGAGATGGGGACGGGCTGCTCCGTGGGACCCCGCACCTGCCGGCACCCTAGGAGCCCCTCTCGCCCCAGCTCTCCTGATGCCCAGAGTCCCCCACCGCCGGTGGGGACCTGACCCGCGGTGAGCGCCTGCCCTGGGGTCCCTGCGGGGACACGGCCCGCTCCTCGCCGGGGTCAGGGCATCGCAGTCGGGGTCCCCGCCAGCCTGCTCCTCACGTGTGAAAGGGGGGTTACCTGGTCGACAGCAGGGGACTCAGGACCCACCCCGTCTCAGTGGCCGGGACCCGAGGGCCTTGAACCCCGCGCACCCTGACGGCTTGGGGGCAGCGCGGGCGGGCGGGGCCGGCACTCACGTCCAGGCACAGGCTGTGGTTCAGGAATTCCAGGAGGCCCGCGCAGCTGCGCACCGCCCGCTGCCGCTCGTGCGCCTTCTCCGACGTCAGCCAGGTGTGCAGGTGCTGTGGAGGGCCGGGCGGGGAGCGGGCTGCAGCGGGACCCAAGTGGGGAGCTCCGGCCCCCGCCTCCCTGCTCTTCCCGGGACGTCCCGAGTCCCTCAGGGACGGCTGATCCTCCACGCAGAGCCCGCTCCCTCGCCAGGCTCCTCACTGCCCCCAGGGCTGTCCCTGCCCCCTCACTGGTCACCTCCCTCAAGGAGGGCGGGCTGCAGACTCGCCCTGCGGAGGGCAGCCCTGGGGGGGTGCGGGGCCTCCTGCAGCTGCCCTAGTGCGGCCCCAGGCCCCTCTCAGGCCTTACCGGCACCCTCCCCCCGTTGCCCAAACCTGAAGATCCTAGAAGCAGCTAAGCCCAGGGGTGCTTCTGGCCCCCGCCCCCACCACCCCCCTCACCGCCAGCAGAAAGTGCAGCTCCCCCTCCGTGGGGCTCTGCCTGAGGAAGTCCTGCAGCATCCCGTCCAGGGCCTGCGACAGCTTGGCGTAGAGCTCCTGCGGGGCGGCAGGCGGGGCAGGGCGGGAGGGGCAGCGCTCTCTGTCAACCTCCAGCGGGGGGCCACCCTTCCTGCACCCCTAGACCTGGCTGCGTGGCCAGCTCCAGCCAGCTCGCCTGCACCCCTCTGTGGCGCTGGGGAGCCGCAGGGTGGGGGGTTGCGTGGGACCTGCTCAAGGGCGGGGCTCCCCATGTCCAGGGGGCTGGGCTGCTTCACAGTCAACGCACCGGCCCCTGCCCCGGGCCGACCGCTCTGCTGCAGCCATCCTGGCATTTCTAAGTGGTGAAGAAGGGCCCCACGCTGTCACTCTGCTGGTTCTGACAAATGGGGTTCGGGGTCTCACTCAGGAGGCGCCCTCTCTGCACAGCTGCTCTAGTCAGCAGGCTGGGGGGAGGGGCCGCCAGCTCCCGGGTGCGGGCGGTGGCTTCAGCTCTGCGCACTCTCCGGGCCCGCCAGGGTGCGGCCACACCGCCCGCGAGGGGCAGGACGTCCCTGCCTGCACCTGGCACTGGCACGCCACGGTGACGTCATCACCTGCTACGGGGACCCTGGGCCCCGGGGGCGTGGGGTGTGGGCAATACCGCCCTCTGGAGGGCTGCTGCTGGGGGGCTGCCTGGGGCCTGGGGGACACGCCCTGCTCTCGGCCCCCATGCCTAAGTGCTGATCTGTCCAGTTTTAGCCTGGACCAGCCTCGGGTGGGGCATGAAGAGCAGGGCCGGGAGGGGGTGCGGGCGGGGCCTCAACCCTGACTCTCCCACCAGCCGCCTCCATTTCTCTGAGCCGATTTCCTCCCGCCATGGGTCAGCGCTGGGAAGGTGAGCTAATGTGCGCCGAGCCTGGCACCCAGCAGGTGCCCAGCCTGAGCATGGGCGCGCGCCCCCTGGTGGAGGCAGTGAGGAATGGGGGCCTCTCCCTTCCCAGGGGTTTCTAGACCCAGCAGGCGTGGGCAGCTGGCTGGAGGTGGGCTGCCTCCCAGAGCAACTTCTGCAAGCCTCACTGGGGTGGCCGGGGGGACGGGGCAGTGAGACAGCACAGGGGTGTTGTCAGAGCCAGCAGGGAGGAAGGGGGGCTGAGACTCCTGTTGACAGAGCATCCCTCTGTGCCAGACGTGGGGCACCCATGTCTCTGCCACTAGGGTGTGAGGTGCCCATTTTACAGGTGGGCAAATGGAGACCCAGATCAGTTAAGATAAATGTCCAGACTCTCTCAGTCCTGGTCTGTGGGGACCAGGGGCTCTGCTTGTCCAGCTGCCCCCTGCCAAGCCATGAGCAGAGGGTGGTCGCGGCGGAGGGACGCAGGTGTCGGGCGCACACCTGCACGTTGGGTGGCTCCAGGAAGAGGCAGGTGTGCTTCTCCAGGATGTCCAGCAGCGGCAGGCCCAGCACGCTGCAGAGGCAGGTGGACAGCAGCCGTGATTTCCTCTCCAAGTCCAGAGGGGGCCTGAGTTTACTGTGTGGGGGGCAGAGGACGGTGGGGGAAGGGCCACTGCCCGAGCAGACAGGAGCCTGTAGCTCGGACTCAGGTGCCCCTCGTGCCCTCCTGCTTTTGACCAGACGATCCTGTGTCCGCTTCTGCCTCCCTGACCTTTAATGGCTCAGTTTTAAGGCGAACGATGCCAAATTTCCATTCTTCAGAGTCTGAACTAATAGTAATGGCTACTACTCATTGAGTGTCTCCTGCGAGCAGCGCTCTGTCAGGGGTTCCTTCCCGGGGTGTGGCTGCAGGGCAATGCTCCTGCTCCATCAGCCTTCTCAGGCTGTGCCTCCCGGCTGGCACTGCCCGCCAGACACGGCTGCTCCCCGCCACCCCGCACTTCCCTCCCTGACCGCTGGCGCCTGCTCTCAGCTGCCTGACGCAGGGTCTTGCCAAGAATGATGCTCTGACCTTGAGTGTCTGGGGTGTCAGCTCATGCTGGGGAGTGGATATGCCCCCTGACCAAGTGCACTGGTCTCCATGAGCTGCCCAGCCCCCAGCGCCCAGCGGGGCCTTCATGCTGACTCTCCCCACCTCACTGCCCAGCTGCCACTGGCCTGAGCTGAGAGGCTGCTGCTCAGTGCTGAGTGGCCCTGCCCAGGGGTACCTACCAGAGGCTGGAGACCATGTGGATGGCCTGCTGGCGGGTCGTCGTGCACAACGTGTCCGGGGGCTCCTTCTCCAGCAACACCTGCGAACCCCAGGCGAAGGCTGAGTCATCGCCCCTGGGCCGACCCCACTCCTGACACCATGTCTCATCCCTGCTTAAAGAGCTCGGCGCCTGGCACCTGGCGGCTCACAGGCCCACGCTTCCGCTCCGCCCGCCTGCAGGGCCTTTGTAACCTGCCCCCCTAGAGACACGGGGTGCAGCCTCTGGAATAGCCAGGCCCCGTCCGAATCCTGCTGCCCCGTTAGATGCCTGGCCCAGCAGGTCTCCAGGCCGCTCTGAGCCCCTTATTTACAAACCATGCAGCACGCAGCCCACACAGCCCGAGAAGTGGGCACGCGGAGCCGTGTCTGAGTCTCACGGGGGCTCTGGAAACTCAGGGCATCGCCATTGACCGTCTCATTACTGTTGCCTCCACAAGCCCAGGGGATCGCCGAGTCGAAGGCTCCAGTAGCTGGTGCGGAGTGGATGGTGCTGGCCTTCCTGGGTCTTACCCACCCCACCTGAGTGCACCTGGCTAGGCGGGTGGACCTGGCCGGCTTAGGGGCACTAAGACTGAGAGGAGGGGGCAGGGATGCGCCGTGTGAGACCCCAGCCCTTTCCCCGCGGTGTCTCTCTCCACACTGTGGTCTGGGGTCGCCCCTCCCGGGAAGCACCTCCCCGGGCCCTGCACCCACCATCAGACACTCGAGGAGCTCGGGGATCTGCGAGAACTCGTAGCCGCGGGCGCCCTCGTGGCAGCTGACGGCCTCCACCAGCATGAGGACGGCCGAGAGGAAGCTCTGCTTCAGGGTCTCGTCCTGGTGCGGTGTCGGGCCGGAGCAAGGGGCAGGGCCAGAGGGACAGCCGGGGAGGGCGGGAGCCGTCAGGGCCACTGCTCAGAGGCCCGCCAGCGGGGCCCCTGTGTGGGGCTTCTGGGGCGCTTGTGTGGCTTGGTTTGCGTGTGAGAAGGCGCTTGAATACGGGCGGGCGCCTGTAGGAAGTCCCGGATCCAGTTTCTCTCCTCTGGCCTGACGCTCTGGCGCCGTGGCCCTGCAGGGCTCCAGGGCCCTCAGAGCTGCAGGGCCGGAGGCTGAGGTGGGGCTGCCTCATGGGACACCACCAGCCTCCCGGGGGAGCACGGGTCTGCCGTCACCGGGGTCTTGGGCCACCCTGGGAGCCCCCGCTGCGGGCAGGATGGAGGCGGCAGGGAGGCTGGGCCCGGGCCGGCGGGCACCTACCCAGCAGCTGTAGTGGAAGTAGAAGATCACCCGCGACAAGATCTTGTCCACCCAGGGCAGGATGCGGGCCTTGGCGCTGACCGCCGTCTGGCCGTAGGCGAGGAGGACGGTGCTGCTGGCCCACTTCCACCGCAGGTCCTCGGGGTTCTGGGGGGGTTGGAGTCTTGGCCCTGCTGGCCCTCACCCGGAGAGGGGAGGCGGGGTACCCCGCTAGGCGGCACCCGAGGCAGGGTGCTCTGGGGGCTCTCAGTAGGGGAAATGGGATGGGCCTTCTGGGGGACTGCTGGGCCTTGTGGGGTTCCCAGGGTGCCTGTGGGGGACCTGACTCTGCTCTTCTGCTCCCTACCTGTGCTATCCTCTCCCCAGGGCCCCCGGGGTTCTGGGGGATGGGAATTGTGTGTCAGACAGAGAGATAGCGGGGGCGCTTGGGCGCAGTGAGGGGAGGACCAGCCTGAGATGCCCCCGAGGGCCATATGGCTCCTGACGAGCCCCCGGAGGAGGGCCCGGCCTCTCCAGGATGTGACTGGTGTGGTGACCCCATCCCTCCCTTCGTACTGACTGAGCGCCCGGTGGGGTGCAGTGAGGATGGGGTGGCTGTGCTGTCCGACAGGGGGGCCCAGGGTCGCCCTCCGGGCCCCGCCCACTCTCCGGCGGGCACGCCACAGCCACGGTGCCGCACACGGGCCCCGGGTCTGCAGCCGGGCCGGGGCGGCTACTCAAGAGGAGGAAACTGAGGCCCGGGGTCTGGCCGGTGTGGAGGTGGCGCCGGAGGCAGGACCCCGCCCCTGACACCCTGTGAGTCTGCCTCAGAGGCCTTGAGCTTCATGGAAGGTCGGGGTCCCCATGAGGCCCCGCGGCCCCCCGAGCCGGCACCTTCAGGGCGTGGCTGTGCAGGCTCTTCCTGATGAGTGAGCTCCGGCCGAACTGGTCCAGGACGGCCCAGACGTGGTCCAGGTGGCGGGTGGCGGCCAGCCCTACAGTGAGAGCGATGCCCTGGGTGGGCAGCAGCGTCACCACTGGGACTCCGGGCAGCCCGGCCTCCGCCACCCGGGGCCTGAGCTCCAGGGAAGGGGCTGCTCCAGGTCACAGGCATCTCCTTCCACTGCCTCTGCCTTGCTGGAGGCCCCCCCCCACCACCGCCAGGGCTCTGCGGGGGGCCTGGGGGAGCAGCAGGGGGCGGCTCCTCCCTGGGGGAGGCTACACCCCAGCACTGCGCAGGAGAGGGGCAGAGGGGCGCAGGGAACAGGCGTGGGGCGGGCGGGGGCGGGGCAGCAGCAGAGGGAAGGGGCTTAGTGAGCAACGCATCAGGCTGGGGCGACCAGGGTCGGGCTCCGGGCGACAGGGTCAGTGTGTGGTCACGCAGGTGGCTGTGCCCCGGGCCCTCTGGGGACAGGGTGGCCGCCGCTCACCTCCCGCTGCTTGGGCCACTGGTGGGAGGTGGCCAGGAGGGTCTGCAGGTGTGTCCTGACGGTGTCGCCATCCTCCTCGGCTTGAAGGATCAGCCCGTAGTAGTTGAACAAGAAGGCCTGGGGAGGTTCGGCTTCCTGTCTGCCCAGCCTGGCTTCCCAGGACCAGGCTCCGTGGCATCCCAGCTCCTCAGCCACCCCGACTGGCCTGCTCGCACGTCTGGTGGGGCCTGGGGGGCTTCCTAGTTTCTTTTTGGGGTCCTGCGCCTCGCTCTGTGTGGGCCCTGGTGGCCAGAGCCCCGGGAAGGGGGCAGCTTGGGGGAGGGGAGGGAGCACCTTCTCGGGGGGCTGCTCCTGATGAGTCCGGTCGGGCTTGGTGAGTGCCCACAGCAGCTCCTTGGACCACACATCCTTGCTCAGGAACTGGGTGGACTTGACGGCCATCTGTCAGCAGACGGGCGGGCAGTCGGTCTCTCCCGGAGCTGGGCCCAGCCTCTCACCCCACGTGTCCCTAGCGCCCAGGACCTGTCCTGTCTGATGGCCCCCGGGGACGAGGAGCACTCCCTGTCACCCCTCCCTGGGGTGCTCAGGACTGGACAGTCCCCAGCACTGGGCCCCGTGTCCGTGGAAGGCGGTGGCCAGGGCGGGGCCAGGAGGACCGGCTGTCTCGTCTGCCCACCTTCGGCGGTACCTGCCCGTGTCCCTGCTCCACCACGTCTCTTTTGAATGAATGAATGAATGAGACATGAGATCCCCTTCGAAATGCCACATCCTAAACATCCGGGATGTCACGATCTGATGATGGCGACCACCAGCCTCCCCACAACCCGAGGGTTCAACTACCCGATGGTTTTGACCTCAGATTCTTTGGGGCTGGAGATCCCCCTCTAAGGGCGCCCTCTGCGTCTTAAAAGAAGAAAGATCGAGGGGCTGCAGGTCAACATTTATCTTCAGGGCGGCAAAGCCCCCTCAGCGGGGTGGATCAGACAGGCCTTGGCTTTGCTGGTTGACATCCGTGATAGACGCTTTATGAGCTCACGGGAAAAGGCGGACACGTCGGGGAACACGCCTGATAACGGCGCTGTAAGCCCCACCTGGCTGGTGTTTGAGGGACGGGAATCGATTCGTGTTGTGGTACGTGGCTGGACGTCGGCAAGGCGGTGCCCTCTGGGGGGGGACTGGCTACGTCAGCTTGGTGAGGGCGTCTCAGCGTCGTGCACCCCCTCTGCGCACCCCCCTTGCATTTCCATCTCTAGAGTGTGCCTGAAAGGAGCGCCAGGTGGGCCCTCTTGGCACCGGAGAAGGTCTGGCCTGGCGGGCGAGGTGGCTCGGTGCCCCTGCGGGGTGGGGGTGGCCCTGCCCTTCCGTTCCTGGGCTGAGATGGTGACGTGCACAGGTGTGGTGTGGGCTCCCCGCCCTCCCCATCCAGCCCGGGACGGCGGCCCCCTCTGGCGGGTCCCGCGCCCCCCGCCCCGGGTGGGTCAGCTCCGCACGGCGAACTTTCATTTCCCCACATTCTGGGCGGCGGTGTCGAGTCTCCCAGAGCTGGTGTCACGCGTGGATGCGTCCGCGTTCCCACCGCTGCACGTCTCAGCCCCCCGGGGCCGGGCGCCAGCTGTTCTCCTCTTTCCGCTCTCACTTTCATGCCTTCACTTCCCGGGGCTGCTTCCCGTGAGCTCGCTCGCCCGTCTGGCCCCTGGGGGTCGCCCTCCGGCTTCCGGCTCCCGTGGGTGCAGGTGCCAGGCGCCCCGGGCTGTGAGTGAGCCTCGGGCGGGTTCGTGCTGAGTTTCCTGCCTCGGGGCAACACCCTAAGGTGGGCTCGCCGGGCCACTCTGACTCTGGAAGGACATGGCAGCTCCCCAAGAGGCTGCACGCTCCCAGCTCTGGGGAGAGGCACCAGCACCCCGCATTGGGGCCCACCTCCGGGTCTGGCTCCTTTGCTACCTCACTCCCTGCGTGGGTGGGGGCGGGGGCTCCCCCCGCCTTCCAGTGACAGCCCAGGACGGAGAGGCCGCTGTGCGCCGGCCGGGCCTGCTTGTCTCCAGCTGCGTCCCCTGCGGGAGGCGCCGTGGCTCAGGCCCGCCCTCCCCCAGGCCCGCCGGGCGAGTTCTCCTGGCGCCGGCCTCTGCGCCTTGGGGGATGGATTTAATTTTGCTGCCGTTCGGTTCACCTGGCCTTTCCCTTGAGGACGCGTCTCTCCGGGCCCCCGGCAGCCCCCGCCTCCTCCGAGGTGGCAACGCTCCTCCTCGAGACGCCGTCGGGCCACGCTCAGGTCCCGCCGCCGCAGGCTGCGTTTTGAGTGGGTCAGACGGGCCTGCGGGTCTCCGTTTCCCCTGCAGCTGTTTGGGAGCCGGTTGTTCCAAGGGCCTTCCGGTCCCACGCGTTGCTTTGGCGACTTTGTAAAAGCAACGAAGAGGCCGGAACCGCCAGAACCGACCCCACGGCGGGCGTCACGCGGGTGTCCTGCTGCCCCTGGCTTGTCTGGTGCCTTCCTCGCGGCCCGGCTGCCGGCAGCGGCGCCGCCGTCCTGAAACCGGGCGGGATTCCTGCTCCTTTGCTGTATTTCAAGATCCGTCAGTCCGGGGTGTGTTTGGAATCTCCGTGAGTGGGTCTGTCCAGTTCCGCAGGGAAGCCCGCGGCTCCGTCTGCATCGCCGAGGCTGGGAGTCGCTGCGGGAGAGCTTCCGGCTCAACACCGGGGAGTCCCCTCCCGGACCCCCGGCCCGCCCGTGGTCGGCCTTCTTGCACCCCCTGCGGGGTGTCTTGGGGAGATCTCGCATCTGCTCTGCTACACCCGGCCCTGAATCTTTTGCGTTTTCGCCGCTGTCGTCATTTCTTAAGACTTTGTTTTCCAGCTGTTCGCTGGCGGCCAGCAGAGATTCTGTGGGCTGTGTCAAGACTTCAGCTTCTGTGTCCTGAGATCTTGCTGAATTCAGTCATAGTAACCAGCAGTTGCCGGCTTTTCTCAAAGATTCTGTAGAATGGTCTGCGCGTGGTGCGCGCCGGGCTGACCGGGTGGCGCGTGGGCGCCTGACTGTTGGCGGGGCCGGGCCTCACCACCGGCGAGCGTGCTGTGGGCGTCCGCTCCTCCTCCTCCCTCCCGAGGGCCTTCGGGTGGCAAGGCTGTGGCTTAGAGCGAGGCGCGCTTACTTGCTTGCCGGCACAGAGCCCCCAGGCCCTCGGGGTGTCAGCGGCTCAGGTCTTCTGCTCCCCCTTAAACTGCACCTGCATTCACACGAATGAGGTGCCCTTTGGACGGGCCTCGAAACCCACAGGTGTGGGCTGGCTGCCGGGAGCCGGCCCTGGCGGCGGGGTTGGAACTTCAGGCCCAGACCCCAGGCCCAGCCTCGTGTGGAGGGGCTGAGACGCGGCCCGGTCGGTCGCCAGCTGCAGGCGATGGACTCCGCGGCGCCCATGGGCAGGGGCTGTGCTCAGTTTTGAAGGGTTAGTGTTTTTTTTTTTTTAAAAGATTGATTTATTTATTTATGCAAGCACTGGGCACAGTCAGAAGCGCGGGAGGGTGAGAGAATTCACGGAGTCAGAGCAGGGAGCAGAGCAGGCAGAAGGACCGAAGTACACTGCTGAGGGGAGCAGCGGGCGGCAGGAGAGGTCTGTGCGCCATGTGGGACCCTCCTCCGGTGGCCGGGGAGCAGCCAGGGATCGAACTGGTGCCGCAGAGGCTGCGGGCAGCTTCACAACCCAGCGCTCAACCGCTGCGCCACCGGGGAGGCCCCTGCTTCATGCATTTTAATGATGACTTTATTTATTTATTTTTTTTAATAGTTCTTTTTTTAATAGAGGCATGTTTTATTTATTTATTTATTTTGTTTGTTTGTTTATACAAGCACTGGGTACAGTCAGAAGCGCGGGAGGGTGAGAGAATTCACCAGAGCCAGAGCGGGGAGCAGAGCAGGCAGAAGGACCGAAGTACACTGCTGAGGGGAGCAGCGGGCGGCAGGAGGGGTCTGCGCGCCATGCGGGACCCTCACCGGTGGCCGGGGAGCAGCCGGGGATCGAACCAGCGCCGCAGAGGCCGCGGGCAGCTTCGCCACCCAGCGCTCAACCGCTGCGCCACCGGGGAGGCCCTGAGGGTTAGTTTTTAAGTTTGAATTTATCTGACCCTCTGTGAGGTTTTCCTGCGCTCCCCGTGTAAGTGGCACGATCTGGTGTTTGTCTTTTTCCTTCTGGCTTATCTGGCTCAGTGTCGCTCCCTCCAGCTCCATCCATGTTGCCAAAAACGGAGTGAGTTTGTCTCTTTGACCCGAGTGTGTGGCGCCGCGTCTTCAGGGCCCGCCCGCCTGCCCGTTCCCCTGCGTCTGCGGCCGGGCCGGCCCGGCTGTGCAAACACGCTGCGGCCAGCGCGGAGGTGCAAGTTCCTCTCACATCCCTGGGGCTCGCGTCCTCGGGCAGGCGCCTAGGGGTGGACTTGCGGGGCGGGCGGCAGGGCCATGGTCAGACCCTCGGGTCTTCCAGAGAGTCTGTCCGCACAACCTAAATCGCCTGCTCCCCTGGCATCCTGTTTCGGTGCTCCCGTTCCGCACTCATGGGTTCTGTTTCTTCCTCGCTCTGTCCAGGGGTTATTATTCTATCCGCTTTTCGGAGTCACTTACTCTCCGTTGTGTTCACCCTCCAATCGCTGCGCCTTTGAAATTTTCTTTGATTTCTTTGTTTTCGTTATTTCGATCTTTCCTTTTATTTGGTTGTTTTATTTATTTTTGTTATTTTTTTTAAACCCTAACCTCCTTTGGTTTTAATTTGCTTTTTTCATTTAACGGGGAGATGGCGGTATAGAACTTCTCTGATAGAGGCTTTAGTGCCCAAATGTCCTGCTCAGCGTTGGTGTTTGTTGCATCCCACAAACTCCCATTATCGTTCAATTCCAAGTATTTTCTAATTTCCCCTGGGGTGTGGTCTTTGACCCGTGGGTTGTTTAGAAGGCTGTCGTCTAACGTCCAAGTATTTGGAGCTTTTTCAGATGTGGTTTTGATGTTGATTTCTAGCTCACGTGCTGGCCAGAGAACGGACTCTGTTTGATTTCAGTTCTTTTAAATGTATTGGAACTTGAGATATGACCCAGCAAATGGCCTGTCTCGTGAATGTTGTATTTACATCTGAAAAGAATGTCAATTTGATCCATTTGGTTAATTGCGTTGTTCAAGCCGTCTGCAGCCTTAGTGATTTTCTGTCCCATTTTTCTATTAATTACGTGTATTTCTGGTGCTGCTGTTTATTATTCCTACTCGGTGCCATTGAGCCATGGCTCCGCGCTCCTCTGTGCGCTGCTGATAGTGAACATTTAACGGGCTCCGGCGTACCTGGCGCCGCGCCGCGCAGCGTGCGGGTCATTTCCTCTAATCTCACAGCAGACAGTCAAGCTAGAGGCGCTTTCTTGTTTGACAGGCGAGGAAGCGAGTCTGAGAGGCCCAGCAGGTGCCCCAGGCACACAGCTGATTCGCTGGGTCTGGGCTCGAACCCAAGACGCCAGGTTGCTTCTCCCAGGGGGCCCCTTACCTGGGCCCCGCAGGCCCCACTCTGGCTCCAGTCACCCCCCTTCCGCCCTCCCCGGTCACTGGCCTCTCTGCGTCCTCTTTGGCCTCTGAGGTCGGAGCCAGCCCCGGGGGTGGGAAGGGCCTTGTGTGTGGTGGACGCTTGATTTGTGTCAGGCATCTAGAGACCAAGGTTCAAACCCCAGCTCCCCAAGTCTGCTCCTCTGTAAAGGGGGCTCCTCTCCCCCATTTCCCGGGGCTGAGAGGGTGCCTGCTCCCTGCTCCCCAGAACGCCCCCTACCTTAACCAGCTGCTCGTCCCAGCACGCCTTCTCGTCCTTGCTGAAGAGTCGCTCTGCTGAGGGAGAGGGTCCCGGAGGCCGGGCTCACGTCGCGGCCGGGGCTGGATCACGGCCCCACCCCACCACCCTCGGACACTGGCTGAGTCAGGGTGTCAGTGGCCACCTCTGGCCATCCCGGCTCTGAGAGAGGAGGGAGTGGACCACTGGCCTCACGCTGGCCCTGGGCCCCTCCCGGAACCAGCTTGGTCTGCGGTTCTTGTCAGGGCCCAGCGGCTGAAATGCTGGTGGACGGAGCACAGGCAGCCAGGACAGGGTGACACCATGGGCCCAGAAGGCGTGGAGTGTGGGGTGCCCTGGCACAAGCTCCCTGGTGTGCAGCCCCTTGTGTGTCCAGAAGTTCGACAGCCCCCTGGACCCCGGCCTGGACGGCCTCCTGTGGCCACCCTATCCCTGTCCCGACCAGCCTGGAGGGCAGAGTGGCCCAGGCCAGCCATGGGCAGCACGCACCGCTGGAGGACAGGACGCCCATCACATAGAGGAAGCTGCGGTGCGGGAAGACACCTGTCAGGACCTCAGCCTCCAGGTGCTGGGCCACGGCCCGCCACGCGTGCTTGCAGATGGCCACGAGCACGTTGCTGGCCGCGTCCTGGTAGGCCTCTTCCAGGTCCTGGGGGTAAGAACAGTGGCTGGGTGCTGCTTTGGTGCTTCACACACGCATGGGGGGACAAGGCAGCTTCGTCTGCCTGTTTTGTGGGTCGAGGGTGCATGCAGGGAGAGCCCAGCCCAGTCTGGGGCTGTGGTCTCTGGAGGGGCCAGCTGGAGGGTCTCCAGGGGGAGGCCAGGCCTGTAAACATGGGGACAGTCCCGGGCTGGGCCCTCCACAGCACTGTCACCAGGCATCATCATCCAGACCCCCAAAGAGCAGGGTCTTCTTGGGGATCAGGACAGCTGGGGCAGGAAGACACAGCTGCTGATCTTGGGGAGTGGTGGGCCCACCTCATTGCTGTGCAGTGGACCCCACGCCTTCCTACCCGCCGTGTCCCGAGTGCACCGTCACTCCTGCCCGCCCGCAGACAGTCAAGCGGGGAGGCCTTGCCCCAGGAGACTAAACCCCCGACCACAGAGCCCAAGGGAACCCAGAGAAGCAGCTGAGGAAATTGGGCCCGACAGTGGTGAGAGCTGCAGGCAGATTTCTGCAATATCCTCCGAGATGAGGAAGATACTGTGTCCCTGTCGGCCCTGAGCAGGACCCCGGGAAGGGAACACTCTGAGAACATTCGAGGCTCTGGAAAGCGGGGGCTGGAGCTCCAGCAGGATGCTCAGCAGGTGGCTTGGGAGAGGGGAGTGGCGGGGCAGGGACGCCTGCTTTGCTGTCAGGTTCATGCCGCGGCGCACGCAGGCTGCTCGGGGGGCGGGGGTGGGCACCCCCAGAGGGCAGGTGCCCTACCCCAGGCCTCAGCCCCACTTCTGTACGGGGGTGGCAATGTGCCTGTTTGGGGGTTAAGCTCCGCCTGTGCCTGCTGTGTGGGGTGTGGGGCTGGACTGTGGCGGCCTTGGTGACCCCCCACCGCCCTCTGACCGTGACTGTGCACATGTGTATTGACTGGCCCCCACGAGCTGGCCCTGGGCTAGTCTGTATAGAAGCTCCGCTGGCCCTCCAGCCCCGGCTGAGACTGCTGGGCAGCCCGGGGCACCCCTGGACTGCAGCCGGGGTGCAGGGGGTGTGGTGTAGGACAGCGACGTGGCTGTGAAGCCCCCTGAAGGACTGGTGGTGAGAATGTGGTCAGCAAGTCCAGGCACACAGCACTGCAGACCCACAGCTGCACACCCGGGTCCCAGGTGTGGCCTGTCCGCCGGGGAGGGGTGGCTACCGTGGACGCGGTCATGTTCTCCAGGGCCAGCTGCATGAAGGTTCGCTCCCAGGTCTCCTCCAGGAAGTCACTGGTTCTAATGACAGCCTCCAGGACGTGGAATAGCCGGAACTTGTGCCGGGTGGACATCTGTGGGCAGCAGAGTGGACAGCGGCTCAGGGACCAGTTGAGCTGACCATGGGAAGAGGCCCCAGTGAGAACACAGTTTTGGGGGGGGAAGGCCAGAGGGGGACGCTCACAAGTGGAAGCATTTGCCCACATGTTCAAAACCGTTTGGACACGATGAATGTGGGCCGTGAGCCAAGGGCTGCGGACACGGATGAGAAAGAATATGTCCCTGTCCTTAAGGACAGCCGTGGGACTTTAGAACATTCCATCTCCAAAGTCATTTCATCCATTCACTGACCCACTGGAACTTAGAGGGATCCTCCCAATCATCTACCCAACCATCCATCCTCCATCCTCCATCCATCCTCCATCCATCCATCCTCCATCCTCCATCCATCCATCCTCCATCCTCCATCCATCCATCCTCCATCCATCCATCCATTCATCCATCCTCCATCCATCCATCCATTCTCCATCCATCCATCCATCCTCCATCCATCCTTCCTCATCATCCATCCATCCATCCACCCATCCATCCATCCATCCATCCTCCATCCATCCATCCTCCATCCATCCATCCATCCATCCATCCTCCTCCATCCATCCATCTCCATCCATCCATCCTCCATCCTCCATCCATCCATCCTCCATCCATCCATCCATCCATCCTCCATCCATCCATCCTCCATCCATCCATCCATCCTCCATCCATCCATCCTCCTCCATCCATCCATCCTCCATCCATCCATCCATCCATCCTCCATCCATCCATCCTCATCCATCCATCCATCCTCCATCCATCCATCCATCCTCCATCCATCCATCCCCATCCATCCATCCATTCATCCATCATCCATCCATCCATCCATCCATCCTCCATCCATCATCCTCCATCCATCCATCCTCCATCCTCCATCCATCCATCCTCCATCCATCCATCCTCCATCCATCCATCCATCCTCCATCATCCCATCCTCCATCCTCATCCATCCTCCCCCCATCCATCCATCCATCCATCCATCCATCCTCCATCCATCCATCCTCCATCCTCCATCCATCCATCCTCCATCCATCCATCCTCCATCCATCCATCCATCCTCCATCCATCCATCCTCCATCCTCCATCCATCCCTCCATCCATCCATCCTCCATCCATCCATCCTCCATCCTCCATCCATCCATCCTCCATCCATCCATCCATCCATCCTCCATCCATCCATCCTCCATCCATCCATCCATCCTCCATCCATCCATCCATCCTCCATCCATCCATCCTCCATCCATCCATCCATTCATCCATCCATCCATCCATCCTCCATCCATCCATCATCATCCATCTATCCACCATCCATCCTCCATCATCCACCCACCCAACCATTCACCATCCATCCACCATCCAGCCACCCACCCACCTGTCTCCTTGTTCACCGACCCACCCATCCACATCATCCACGCACGCATGCATCTACCAGTCCATCCATATCTGCCACGTACTGGCTCAGTGGCTAAGCCTCAGTCCTCACCCATCACAACACTGGCATCGTGACACTGTTCTGGGTGTGTTCATACCCATTGGCCCATTTGCCCACCCTTCTCCACCTAGTTGACATTTGAGGACACGAACTTCCCCAAAGTCACGTCGTCACTGTACGGAGGAGGCGAGATATGAACCTCCTGGGCCCTGGCCCCTCTTCTGCTCCCTGCGCTGCCCGAGAGCCCAGCCTCTCACCTCCGGGTTGTTGAGGAAGTAGTCATGGATGGTCTCCAGCACCAGGCCGGGCAGCCCCCGGGCCATGTTTTTGATCTTCCTGGTGATGTGCTTGAGGCGGAGGGGGTCTGAGCTGCCCAGGTCCCGGAGCATCTTGAAGCAGATGGCTGGGGCAGACGGCACGGGGTGTGAGGGTGGGCTGTGGGGCGGCACACTGGCGGCCGGTGGGGGCAGGGGAGGGACAGGGCTGCGAGTGGGACAAGTGCTCAGACAATGAGGCGCAGAGAACTGACCACACTCGGAAGTCCGGGGCCTCCTGCCCATCCAAACAGTCCAGGGGCAAGAAGCAGGGATGCATGTAGGTACGTGCAAGCTCACTCACGCGCTCACTGATGTAGCCACGTTTACACTCACTTGTCCACTTACATATCATCCACCTGCTCTCCACTTGTCCCTCCATCTGCCCATCCACCTGTCCCTCCATCTGCCCATCCAGTCCCACATTCATCCATATGTTTGTCCATCAAGCCATCGTCTGTCCTGTCTCACCTTCATCCACCGATTCATCCAGCAATGGTTTTATCCATCCATCCATCCACCCATCCGCTCAAAATGCACCCTTCCAGACACCCTCCCCGCGACGCATAAATTCATGCACCCGTTCATCTACCCACTGGCCGTTTGTTTATAAACTCCCCCTCTGTTAACAGAGTCACACGTCTCTCTCTCCATCTCTCTGCTCCTTCGCCCCTCGCCCTCCATCAGTAAGTCCCCCGACATCTGATGAAGTGTGGTCGCAGGGATTCGCGTTGGGGCTGGTTCAACAGTAGTCAGGGACCAGCTCTGTTCTGAAGGGGCCCCCAGCCTAGGGGAGCCCTCGCCAGCATTTGTGGGCTTTGGCTTTGGGGGGCAGTTGCATAAAAGGCCCTGGGTACAGAGGAGGGGACAGTAAACCCTAAAGTGGAGGGTGAGGCAGGGCTGGGTTATCAGAGAGGGGGCAGGGATGTCACTGCCTGGGAGGAGGAGGAACGTGCTCCTTTGAACGAGGGGAAACCACCGCAGTGAGGGGTCAGTCCTACATGAAGGGGCACTGCCAGGGCTGGGGTGGGTCTCAGCAAGCACGCTGAGGCTCTGCTGATGGAGGGCCCCCTGTCTGCTGAGAGTGTTGCCATGTGCGCTGGTGCCCCCGGAGTCCGGGAGGGTGTCCTCTCTGGCCCTCCTCCTCCGGCCTCCCTGCGTGGAGGGACGTGGTGGGTCTGCTGGAGGCCCGCCGGCCGGGGTGCTCACCCGCGTTGTAGGCTTCCTCTATGAACGCCTTGTGCTCCCTGGGCACCAGGGCAGCCTGGCTGCTCTGTGACCTGCAGAACACGATGGTGGTGTGGTGCTGCCTGTCCGTGCCGACTGAGCCCTGAGACACCCTCATGTAAGGCAGGTCCCTTGTGGTTTCAGATAGGTAGGAGAATCTGAAAGGGAGAGGGTGCTGAGTGTAGGCATGGGGTGCCCTGTGTGCATTCATGGGGTTCACGGGTGCGAGCACAGTGGATACTTAGGGCCTCCTTGGTCTGCGTCAGGCTTGGCAACACCCTCCCATGAGTCCACTGGGAAGAGGGCAAAGGTCTCGAGGCCTCAGTGACCCTGTCAGGCAGCACCACCAGGCTCAGAGGGCGTGGACTGCCTAGCAAGTGTGGTGGCAGGCTATGGAGACACTGGGATCCAACACCCCCTGCTCCAGCTCTTCTGCAGGCCGCACAGAAAACTGCCTGGCTGCTCAGACAGCACCGGGGTGGGGGTGGGGGGGTTCTTTGCAGGATTGGGGAGTTCCAGGAGCAGGAGCCAGGGAGCTGGGAGTGCTGTGCCACGGCTCCTTGGCACCCCAGCCCCTATCCCAGTATTTCAGGACATTTGTTTGGGTGAGAAACCCCGAGGAGAAACATGTGGCAGGACAGGGAGGCTGTGGGTCCGATGGCGTTGGAGTTGGCCTGGCAGCGGGCCCTGGACAGCATCCTGCCACCCGCTTCCTCCCTCCTGCGGGCGGGGGCGCGGGACTCTGTGTCCGTGGAGCCTCCAGGTTGGGAGCGGAGGTCATTGTAAGGATTAGCGATAAGGCAGCACACTAGAAACTACTCAGAAATGAAACACAAGTAGAAAAAGCTCTGAAATGAATGGCGAGAGCATCACTGAGTTACGGGACAAGTTCAAACGGCGTGCGCGGCAGGCCTCCGGGAGGTGGGATGGGGCAGAAAAAATACTTCAAGAAACAACATCTGAAGTTGCCAAAGAAATGAACAAGTGATACATCTGTAGCTCCATGGGACTCAATAAACACTAAACCAAACCAAACCAAACCAAAACTTTGCACGTCACACTGAAATAAAATTTCCTAAAACCAATAAAAGAAAACATTCAAAACAGCCAGCGAAATAGACGCTATACATGAAGGTACGAGGGATGAGAGTGTCGTTCTAGCTGGAAACAATTCAAGGCAGGCAACACTGGAGCAGCATTTTAAGGCATCAAAAGAAAAAAAATGCTGTCAAACTAGAATTCTAGGCCAAGAGAAAATTTTAACAAAACCGAAAGTGAAATCTTTCCGTTTCCCATACACAGTAGAGCTCCAAGAACTCCCCACCAGCAGAACCGCACTGCGTACAAGCGCCGTTAGAGGAAGTCCTTCAAACAGAAGTCAGACTGTACCAGACGGGAACGCGGAACTGCACAGAAGAAGGAAGAACGCTGGAAATGGTGACTATGTAGGTAAATATAAAATATTTTTCAAGTTTTAAGTAAAATTAAGAATACATTGTGGGTTTTAAAAATAACAAATGCAGAAGTAAAATATGTGACAAAAATACCAAAAAGGTCAGGAGGGAGGAACAGGAATAAAATGCAAAATCTTGTGTTATAAAGTAGTATAATATCACTTGACGGTAGACTGAACTGAGGTAATATTATGTGCTGTAAATCCTAAAGCAATTACTAAAAACACAACGACAACAACAAAACCAGACACTAAACCACAACCACACAGCTAACAAACCGATAAAGGGGATACAATGGAATCATAAAAGACACTTGATGCAAACGAAGGAAAAGTAGGAAACGAGGAAAGCAAAAGAGGAAAAGTAGCACAACAGAGAGTTGAGGCCAAGGGAAAGCAGACTGCAGGATGATCGGGTCTCACACAACCACCTCAACAGTCGCATGAAAGGCACATGGCTCTGATAGTGCAATCAAATAGCCGATTCTCAAATTTAATACAAAAGCAAGCTCTAAGCACATGCCCAGAAGAAAGACACTTGAAGTGTAATACATATAAATTGATTAAAAATATGAGTGGGAAAAGATACACCATGTTAACACTAAAGAACACCGGAGTGGCTACATTAATATCAAACAAAGTATATCTTAGAATAAATAACACAAGCAGGAATAAAGAATCGTTTCAAAGGATAAGGGGCTCATTCATCAAGATGACTTAACAATCGGAAATGTTCGTACACCTAGTGGCAAAGTACACAAGGCAAAAGAGAGAGGACCAAAATGAGAAACTGATACATCCACCCAGCTGAAGATTTCAAACCCCCCCTCTCAGCAATTGATAGAGAAGAGATAATCATGAAAGATATGGAAGATACGAACAAAACTCTTAACGTGACCTAACTGGCGCTCGCACAGCTCTCCATCTTTCAACGCAGGAGCACGTGCTCTTTTCAAACGCAGGTGGGACATTGAACACGATTGGCTATGACCAGGCTGTACGCAAGACTCAAACATTGGAAAGATTCAGATCACACAAAGCACACTGTCTGACGACAGCAGAATTAAATTAGAAACCAAAAATTAGAAATCGAGATAAATGAAAAATATCCAAGGATTTGGAAACCACATAAACTTTTAAAGAATACATGGGTCAAGAAGAAACCAAAGGTGAAAGGAAAACATGTTTTGAATGGGATGAAAGTGAAAACAAAGTGTAGGGTGCAGTGAGGACGGTGCTGGGGGGAGACCGTCCAGCGTTAAAATTTACAGTCTTAGGAAGACTAAAGCTCTGATAGCACCGACTTAACCTTTCACCTCAAAAATTGGAAATACAAGTTAAACACAATTAGAAAAAAATAATAAAAAGTAGAGCAGAAACAAATGAAATAGAAAACAGAAAAATCTGTGAAACAAAACACAGGTCCTTTGAGAAGATAACACATTTTGATAAGCCTCCAGCACGATTTATTAGAATAAAAATAGAGACACAGGGCCTCCCCTGGTGGCACAGCGGTTGAGCGCTGGGCTGCGAAGCTGCCCGCAGCCTCTGCAGCGCCGGTTCGATCCCCGGCCACCGGAGGAGGGTCCCACATGGCGCGCAGACCTCTCCTGCCGCCCGCTGCTCCCCTCAGCAGTGTCCTTCGGTCCTTCTGCCTGCTCTGCTCCCCGCTCTGGCTCTGGTGAATTCTCTCACCCTCCCGCGCTTCTGACTGTACCCAGTGCTTGCATAAATAAATAAATAAATCTTTAAAAAAAAAAAAAAGAGAGAGACACAGAGAACAGCAGAATAAGAGCAGGTATATCACTGAATGCCCTAAAGACATAAAAAAGATCAGGGGGTATTAGAAACAACTTAATGCTGATTAACTTAACAACTTAGATGAAACAGACAAATTCCTGAAAGTCTTAAAATATCAAAGCTCACTCAAGCAGCAGGAAATTACCAGAAAAGCTTTACATATCTTGTAAACATCAAATTGCAGCTGAAGACCTTCCTGTAAAGAAAACGTTAGATGCCATTGGCTTCACCCTCTTGAACACCACCAAGCATTTAAGGGAGGAATGATACCAATACTCCAAATATTCTTCAGGAACATTCTCAGTGAGGTGAGCATTACCCGGACACCAGGGACACGCAGAGACATTGCAGACGTTCTTAACACAAGAATCTGGAATGTATCGAAATGTTTATTCATTGTGATCAGGTGGGGTTTATCTGAGGAATGCAAGGCTGGTTGAACATTTGAAATGAATAAATGTTATTCGTGTTGTTGGATGTGGGGGAGAGCCACGGAATCACCTCAATAGAGGCAGAGGAAGCATTTGATAAATTCGACGTCTATTCATAAGAAAAACAAGAATTGAGAACTGTCTACCCAACAGAGAGTTTCTATAAACATCTTACGGCTGACCTCAGAGGTCATGGTGCTCGGTGAAAGACGGAAAGACGCAAAACTGGGTTTAGTCAATGCAAAAAAATTAAGAAAAAAGCATACAGACTCGAAAGAAGAAACAAACTATATCTTATATCAAAATGGAAAATTCCAAAGGACCTACAAAAAAAAAAAATCTACCACAACCAAAAGTGGGTTTAGCAAATCTGCAAATAGTCTGCAGAACTTCATCACAGCTTTATGGATTAGCAAAAAACAATCAAGACTTGAAACCAAAATGTACCATAGGCAAGAGCGCTAAAGACTGTGAGGTGATGGGTGCAGAGCTGACCAGCAGCGCTCAGGTCCGTTCCCACCCGCCGTGGCGGGGACGCAGAGGGGCCCGCTGTGGACGGCGGGGAGCTGGCCCACTGCGCCCCTGGAAAGGCAAGTGTCGATTTAATGCCCCGTCATCCGTTCCGCCCCTCGGAGTTCACACGGTGAGATGACAACTGAGGCGCACACGAAAAAGTGCACACACATGTTTACAGCGGCCCCTGGGCGCCCAGCCGCAAGCACTCGTCTCCTCCGGTGAATGTGCAAAGACAGGGGGACACCCATAGAGCACCCCGAGACACGGCCGCACTCTGTGGAAGACACTTGAGCACACTCAGAAAACGGTGAAACTATGGGGGAGGTTAACCACGAAGGGGGCCTGGGAGGATCTGGGGAGATGTTTCCTATCTGGCTGGCGCTGGTGGGGACGCCCTGCACCAGCTCGTCAAAACTTGCAAAGCAGCATGAGAGCGCGCGAGGTTCACTGCATGGAAAGTCACTGCAATAAAGAAGAAATCAAGCTGTCCCAGCGCAAGCCCGCCTGCCTCCCCCGATCCGAGTTCCTGTGTCTCTTGCCTGCCCCCCCTTAGCAGAGAACTCCTGCCGACCCCCACACCACGAGGCCCTTCCACCCCAGGGCCTTTGCACTGGCTCTGCCTCCACTCTGGGGAGCACCCCCGCCCCGCCAGCTGCTTGGCTCATCCCTCAGGCCCTCCAGGTCTTCGGTCAATTGTTACCTGGAGGCACTACTTCAGCCTTCTTGCCTTGGGAGGGGCGCTCTAGGGTCGGCACCTCCTCCCGCCGAGTGGACCGATGCCCTCTCTGCTGCCCCTGAGCCCCTGGGTCCCCGGAGGCAACGCAGATGGACCCTGGTCCTTTTCCTTGCGACGCCCCAGGGATGCCTGGTGTCCCTGGCGGGTCCCCCCCATCTCGCTCACCCCGGTGCCTGCCGTCCCCTCCCCAGCCGACCAGACAGGGGCAGCCACCGGGCCCGGACACACAGCCTCTGCATGGAGGCCCCGGGTCAGAGCAGGCCCGGCCCCGTCTCCCGGCTGTCCCGCGGCTGACCCTCCCCGAGCCCCCTGCTTCTCGCGCCCTTGCAGAAAACCCGCCACTTCCCTGCTGCCCCAAGGCAGGACGGTGCCGCCCCCACAGGCCTCTCCCGGGAGAGCCAGGCCTTGCTCTGGCCCAGCAGGTTGAGCCCCAGACAACCTCCCAGCCCCGCAGCTAAACGGAGCTTTAGATGCGGGAAAATGTCAGCAGCACAGTCAGGCGACAGCTGCAGGGGGAGCTTTTCTTGCCTGGGAGGAGCCCGGGGGGCGGGGAGGTGGAAATGCTCCTGCAGGGGCCGCGGGACCCTCAGAGGCAGTGCAGGGAGCTCCTGGGACACCGCGGCCTGCCCAGGGTACCCGGAGAGGCTCGGCTGGGACGAGGGGTCGCCGGGCGCGGGGGCCGAGGGGCCCTGGACGCACGTCCCTTAGACTTGAGGACTGCGCTGTGTCGTCTCTGCTCGCGGGTGAAGCAGCCGAGGTCGGGGAAGCAGGCACCGCGCGTCTGGCCACACGGGCACGCGGGGAGGAGGAGGCCGGCCGCGCCGTCCATGCCTCTGGCCCTCGCACGCCACCGACGGCCACACGGGGCGACCACGGCGTCCCCCTCCTCCGCCTCCTCTCACCCTTCGGGGTGTGGGTGCAGGCCCGGCCCCAGGCCCCCAGGCCCCCAGGCCCCCAGGCCGCCCTGGCTCAGGACCCCTCCGCGCTCGGCGGGCCAGCCCACCCGTGCCAGGGGGCCGGGTTCCCGACAGGGGAGAGGCGGGCGACCAGGTGCCAGCGTGCCTTCCGGGACCCCACGTGCGGCCGGGCCGGGCTGACCTGGGGTTCTGGGACGTGGCTGACGACGTGGTGTAGCTGCGAGGCTTCTCCAGCCGCCGCTGGTCCATGTTGGCGTTGGGAGGCCCGAGCCCCGCTGCCAGCTCCGTCCTCGCCCGCGGCCTCTCGCGCCCCACCCCGGCCTCGCGTGAGGTCACAATGGGTTCAGCGCCCGGCCCTTCCCAGCACGGCGCGCGGAACTGGACGCTGCCCCGGGCACAGCACGCGCGTGAGCCTGTGTGTACCTGTGTGTGCCCACGCGTGTGCCCGCGTGGGCGTGTATGTGCCTGCGTGTGCGTGTGCCTGTGCCTGTGCGTGTGGCATGCACGTGTGCACGACACCCTCCCCCCCGGCCGCCGCTGTGTCCTGCAAGGCGTGGAGCCCGCTGGGCGCGACTGTCCGGCGCTCGGGGCCCGCGCCCACAGCGGGTTCCTGCGTCCCCAGAAACATGTGCAGCCGAGGGGGTGGCGAAGCGGAGCCCGACCGTGGAGCACGCTCAGCGGCCAGGAGGGACCAACTCGTCCGCTGGCGGCCACGTGGATGGAGCTGGAGGGGCGGCACTAAACGAGCTCCGTCGGGAGCAGCGCGAGAAACATCGATGGTGCCACTTGCAGGCGGGACTCGGGGCAGCCGAACCAAGGGTCGGGAGGGACAAAGCCTGCAGCTGGCCAGAGATCTGAGGTGTCCAGCAGGGGAGCGGGGAGCGGGGCCGAGCCAGGGGACGGCCGTGATGGGTCGCGGGCTGTGGCGGGGGCAGAACTCGGGGCCGCCCCTGACGGGAGAGTGAAGTTCTGTCCCGAAACGGACAGGGTGTGAGGAAACAGCACATTAATTACAACACAACTGGGTCTGTGCTTCCCTCCGTGAAGGAGGCCCCGGAAGCCAGCGAGGAGCTTTGGGGGCCACCCCTAGCGGGGGGCTTCCGGGTGCCAGCGGCCGTCCTGCTGGGCCCGGGGTCACCCTGGCTCTGGGGTTACTCATGTCCGTGCGGCTGCCGGTGAGCGCGCAGCGCTGAGCCCCGTGCGTCTCTCCCCACGCCCTGGTCTGGTGGCGCCAGGGGTGGCGGGATTCAGCCCGTGGGGCGCTGCGCCTGGGGCGGGGGGGCTGCGCCTCAGGCCGGGGCCGTGGTGCGGAGAAGCGTTGCTAAGCATATGCCAGCCCCACCGGGCAACTGTCTGCTCCCCTGCCTTGGGCATTCAGAGTCGGGGCCAGGGCGGAGGCCCGGGCTGGGAGCTGATCCCCAGGGGGCGGCCACACCCCTGCCTTAGGACACCCGGGGCCAGGGGGACACAGGGGCAAGTGGAGGGAGGCCCCTGACCCTCCCACGGCCCCTGGGCCCTGCGACGTGGCGACGCAGCTGTCCACTCTCCTTTCCGCGGGACCTTCCAGCCAGCCCTGCAGGGTGAGCTGAGCTTTCCCTGAGGCGGAGGTCCAGGTCCTGCGGGTCCCCACGAGGGACGGCACGCGGGATGGGCACGGCGGGCGGGCCTCCGGGGACGGATGTGCCCAGCTGCTGACCTCGCCCATTTGAAAAGGCGATGTGTCAGGGTCACGGCGGCCCGGCACCATGCTCTGCTGTCTCCCGCGAACCCCGCAGGAATCGGGGCGCCCCTGGGGCGGCAGCACCGGACACTGCCTCTGCTGGATGTGGCCGCCCCGCAACTGCTTCTCAACATCTGGGCTGGGAAGAGGCTCAGAGGGGGCGAGCCGTCGCGTGGAGGTCACGCAGCAGTCTGCGGTGGAGTCGGGGCTCAAGCTCAGGCCCCCGGACCCCAGGCCAGGGTGAGGTGGGGCTCCTGGAACCTCCAGAGACCCCTCCCCAGGGCACGCAGCTCCCCCAGGCCCGCCCACCGTGCCTCCGCGCGCGGTCAGCAGGTGGCGCTGCAGGCCCAGGCTGCGCGCGGAGAGGCCTGGCGGGCTCCCTGAGGTGCCGCCTCTGCTGTCCTGCGGCTCCCCAGCCTGGGGGTGCTGCCCGGGGCCTGGCGTCTCTCTGCCCAGCACCGGGGACACCTGGACGGGCAGCCCTGGGCAGCTCCGGCTCACACCCACCTCCTCGCCTTGGCACGGGGTCTTGGTGCCCCCAGCTCCTGCTGTTACTGCCTCAAAGAGGAGGGGGCCTGGCCCTGACGCCGCAGACCCCCTTCCCTGCTCCCCAAAGCCTTCCCCCTGCCCCTCTCAATACCTCCTGCCCCTCCAGGGTCAGGCCTGCCGCCTGGTGCCCTCCACGCCTCTGCCAGACCACGCTCTGCCTGCCCGACCCTTCTCAGGAGCCCTCCGGGAACCTCCGGGTGAAGCCAGCTCAGCAAGACCCCCCCTGCCAACCCCTGCCGGGACCCTCCCGCCGAGCCCCTGGAGCCTTCAGGGCGTGTCCGGCCCAGCTGGGGGGTGGCTGGAGCCCACTCCCTGCAGCTTCCTCCCCACCCCCTGGCCTGCTCCTGCCTGCGCTGCCTCATCTGCAGTGGAGGCTGCTCCCCCCACGGCTCCATGCCCTGGTCTCCCCACATATATGACGGCACCCCGTGAATGTCTTCAGCAACTGCCGTTGCTCTGATTCAACACACAACCCCGCCCCCACACCTCTGTGGCGCCCAGCCCCCCGCCCCCACCCCCCGACAGGCTGGTCCCCGTGGGCTCGCTGGGCTCTGGGTCACACTGGGCGCCCCAAGAGGCACGTGGGGCCGCCAGGTGCGGGCAGAGAGGTCACCTTCCTGGGCCCCGTTCTGGGAGCACAGTGGGCCGGGATGAAACGCCTGACACCCTCCTGTGAGCTCTGAAACCACCCAGCACCCCAGTGCAGCCCCAGGGGTGGGGGGGATCCCCTTGGCCCTTCTAGGGCCGGGGCTAGAGTTAGCTCCGCACTTTGGGGCTTGGGGAGTTACACCCCACCCTGAGCCTCCTGCAGGGTGGCGGCCAGAGTACCCCCAACCCCACGGGCGCACGAGGTCCCGCCGGGTCCGTCCCGTCAGCCAGCCCACCTGGCTCGCTGCCCTGCAGGACCCTCCTTGCTCTTCGGTCACTGCTCAGGGCCTTGCTGGCGCCCCAAACAGGCGCGTGCCCCTCCCCCAGGCCTGCGCCCCAAGCCCCTCCCCCACGGGTGCTTGGCCCCAAACCAGGGTCTCAGGACGCCCGTGCCCCATGAAGGTAGAGATCTGAGGTCCCCCCCGCCCCAGTATCCCAGCGTACAGTGGGCACCCACGAGCTCCTGTAGGTGGGGGGAACCCCGCAGAGGCTCCCGGGGAGGGGTCCTATGCCTGAGTCTGGGCCCTTGGGCTGGGGCAGCCGGCAGCACCCCGCGTCCCCTAGCAGGGGTGCTGCCCGACGAGGCCTCCTGGTCTTCTGGGGTGTTCCTGGGCCTCCCTCCTCCCTCCACACCCCTTCCTAATCTTCCACAGAAAAAGAGGGTGAAAAAGGCAAAAGAAAGAGGTTTTCTCCTCCACTCTCTGAAAATGAGATTTTAAAAATAACTCGGAGGCGGCGGCAGCGCTCAGAGGGGATTATCGGGGAGCGTGGATGGAGCCCCGCAAGTCCAGCAGGCCTGCTGCCCCTCCTCCTCGGCCTCTGGGCCCCTACCCTGCAGGCCTCTGTCCTGCTGCTCTCCCTGCCCGGCCCCCGACTCCACTGTTTCTCCCGATGGGAGGCCGGGCAGGGGAGCCACGCAGTGGGGGAGCTGCTGGGAAGGGTGGCTGTGATGGAGGGGTCGGGGGTGTCGAGTCCCAGGCTGGAGAAGGGTGGGCCCTGCCCGTCTCCCCAGCCCACTTGGTGCCCTCACCCGTCCTGGGCCGCTCACCCTGGGGCCCCGGCTGGGTTGATCTTTAGGGCCTGCAGCCCGTGTCCCTGGTCTCTGCCCCTGCAGCCCGTGTCCCTGGTCTCTGCCCCTGCAGCCCGTGTCCCTGGTCTCTGCACCTGCAGCCTGTGTCCCTGGTCACCGCCCCTGCAGCCCGTGTCCCTGGTCTCTGCCCCTGCAGCCCGTGTCCCTGGTCACTGCCCCTGCAGCCCGTGTCCCTGGTCACCGCCCCTGCAGCCCGTGTCCCTGGTCACTGTCCCTGCAGCCCGTGTCCCTGGTCACTGCCCCTGCAGCCCGTGTCCCTGGTCACTGTCCCTGCAGCCCGTGTCCCTGGTCACTGTCCCTGCAGCCCGTGTCCCTGGTCTCTGCCCCTGCAGCCCGTGTCCCTGGTCTCTGCCCCTGTAGCCCGTGTCCCTGGTCACTGCCCCTGCAGCCCGTGTCCCTGGTCTCTGCCCCTGCAGCCCGTGTCCCTGATCACTGCACCTGTAGCCTGTGTTCCCTGCCACAGGACCTTGGCATGGGCAGCCCCCCCAGACCTTCCTCCCTCCACAGGACGTACGGCCCACACCCTCAGCTTCCAAGGTGCTCCCCAAGAGGCAGCCCCGGCCTGGGGAGGCCCGTGTCCCCCCCACCGCCATCACGGCTCCCTGCTGGCCCCGCAGCCCCATTACAGCTGATAAATGTTGGTTGCCTTGTCTCTTATCCCCGCTCCGCTGGGCTGTAAGCTCTATGCCAGGGACTGGGTGCAGCTGGTACTGCCCCATCACACGGGCACTGACTGTCTCTGGACTTGAAGTGCCGACCCCTGCGGCTTTGTCTGAGGGGCTCTCTGGCCATCTGCGGCAGGGGCCAGGGAGCAGCCCAGGGGGTGGGGTGGGTGGGGAGCAGCTTGGGGGGTGAAGCCCACTGGTCCCAGATATCTTGCCTGAATACACCCTTGATTGGCCTCCCTCTGGCCTCTAGGGGTTCTCTGGGGTCACTTCCCAGCTGACCTCTGCTCATGTCCACGCTCTGGGTGTGGTGGAGGCCGAGTCACGGCCCTCACAGACACCGGCGTTCCAGGCCCTGCAAACTGCCATGGTCACCTTGTGTGGCAGGAAAGGTCTTTGTGGCTACGATAACATCCAGAATCTTCTGATGGGGTCCCCAGGCAGAGCCACCTGCACCCTTACAGGGGGGAGGCAGCGGGGTTCCCAGCCGCACACGGCGGAGGAGGCTGTGGAGCACAGGGGCGGAGACAGGGAGGGCACGGCCGGTCTTGTCTGGTGCCTGGGTGTCCGCGCGTGGCCCCGGGACGTGGGTGCAGCAGGCCCCGGGAGCCAGACCCGGACGGCTCGTCTTCATCACTGGGGCTGGAAGTGTCCCTCCCAGGCTGGGCCCTTGGGCGCCATGGGGCGCTGGCCGGCCCCTCTGCGGCAGCAGAGCGACTCGACTCCCAGCCTGCGTCGCCGCGCGGAGAGCACTGGCGCGGTCCCCGGCCGTCGGGCGGGTCCAGCAGTCCGGTGTGCAGTGGGGCACCGCGTGGCTTGTGCCCAGGGGGCCTCTCTCCCTTTCACAGCTCGGGGTCCAGGTCTGGCCTGGGGGCATCTTGAGCACCCCCAGGTCTACACCAGGGGCGTCTTTTGTCACTGGACCTGCTCGCAGGCCACAGGTGTTGGGGAGTGGCACCCCAGACACTTGAAGGTTGGGGTGCCCTGGCCCGAGGCCTGGCCTGAGGGTCACTCTGCGGCCACCCTGTGGTCTCAAAGCTGCCCGGAGGCAAGTTGCTCCCGGGCAGGGGCACGGTCACCCTTCACGGCTCTGTCCTCAGCCCGCGTCCACTCGGGGCCCAAACCAATACTGGCATGTTGAGGGCAGGCCCAGCCTCACCCGCACCGTGGTGACTGGAAGCCAAAGATGGGCCGCCGGCCTGGCCCGGGCACGGGGGATGCATGTGGCTGCCCACGGCGGGGACGGCAGCCGGCCTCCGGGACAGCGGGCTCTCCAGCCGGGAGCCCACGCGAGACCCGGCAGGCTGGTCTCGGCAGGGGCAGGAGCGAGTGGGCCCGGCCCGGAGGCGGGTGGGGACAGGCCCAGGTCTCCCAGCGCGGGGGGGTTGGCCGTGGCTCCTGAGTAGGGCGGGTGAGCGGCTGCAGGGGTGCTGGGGGCAGGCCCCGGCCCCCCCCACGAGCCGGCCCCGCCCTCCCGGGTGGGGTCCCTTTAAACGCAAGGTTCTTTCCGCCCGGCCGTCTCCTGGCAGCCAGGTACACAGGCCTGACGCTGCCGGCATGGCCTCCCCCTGCTCTGGGGACCCCAGCCCCACAGGCCTGCCCCCCTCACGGGGCCACTCCAGGTGAGACCCACGGTGGGGGAGCAGGGGCGCCGAGCGCTGGGGCTCTGGGGAGGCGACGCAGCCACCCGCCCGCCTCCTGGGCTGGGTCTGCAGGGCCCGGGGGTGGCATGTGGGGCCCGCGTCTCCTCCTCGTCTTCTGGAGCCGGCTGCCCCTCAGCCCTTGGAGCCTGAGGCCTGCAGCGTCCTCAGAACTTCTTCCAGAACATTCTCCTCACCCACCCCGCCCAAGAGCAGCGCCGGCTCCCAGGTCCGCAGGACACACCACAGCCCCCGCCTGGGCACCCCCGGCCTCCCTGGATTTCTGACTCGGCACTGACCCTGCCCGCAGCACCGGGGATTACGCCCCTCCCTCGCCCCTCGGCCCCAGACCCCCGTCCTCGGCCAGACCCCCCTCGCCAGGCACCGCACGGGAGCCCGGCCTGGCCCGCCCCCGCGCCTGGCCTCTCCCAAGCTCCCGCCTGGTCACCGGCTCTGCCGCCCCTGGCCCACCCCACACCTCCCCTCCTGTTCCGCTGTGCGGCCCGGCGCCCCCACCCCCGGCGGCGGCACCCGCGCGGCTGACCGGAGCTGGGGAGATGCTCGCGCCACCTCCCTGACCAGCGCCAGCCTGCGGGCCTGGGATGCCGCCCCTGCCATCCTCCCGTCCACTCGCCCCCCCTGCTGCCGCACCCTGCACCCCTCTAGCCGCGCCCTCCCCGGCTTCGGGCCTTGCTCCCTTTTCCACCAACCGTGGAGACAGGCCCCTCGGGCCCTGCCCCGGGCCCCCCGCAGCCGCACCCAGGGCTGTCCCCGCACTGCACCCCGCACCGTCCTCCCCGCTCCTGGCCAAGGCCGCTCTCCGTCACCCCAGCTCCTCCCCGCCCCGCCGCGGCCCGGCCGCCCCTCCCTCGTCAGGACACGGCTCCCTCCCCGGCCTCTCCACCGGCAGGAAAGCTCCGACCTGCCCGTCCCCTGACCTCGCCTCCCGTCGCGCGGCAGCGAGCGCCCGGCAGGGGCTGCTCAGACGCGGGCACCCGCCTGCCCCCCGTTTGCTCCCGAAGCCCGTGGCCTCAGCTGTTCCCCTCCGCGCGGGCGGCTCTGGCTCTGGCCTCCGCGCTGCTGACCCAGGCGTTTCTCAGACCCCGTCTGCTGCGACCGCGGGCAGCCCGTGGCTCAGGACCTCCCCGCTTCCCTGAACCCCTGCTTACTGCTGGCCGGGATGCAAAGACCAGGCTGGCTTCTGGGGTTCCCCTGGCTCCCCCCAACCCTGGGTCTCATCCCCCCAGCTGTCCAGCTCCACAGGGGCCTTCCCCGCCCTCTGCACTTCCCCCCCAAGGTGGGCCTTGACTGTCCACCCCAGCCCGCGCCCCCTCAGTCGACCCCAGCTTTAGTGCAGGGTGTTTTCCTTTTTCCACCGCCCTCGTGCTGCCCCCATCAGCAAACCCCATGGGTTCCACCTGCTGGACTGGAGCCCTCCGCGCCCCACCCCGCCTGGACAGCCTGGCGGCCCCTCCCTCCACCCCACCCGCTGCTCGCAGCACCACAGGTCCCGGTTCAGTGCAGTGGGGGGCCCTCCTCCCCCGTGGGCCCCCTCCCCGTGGGGTCCCCCTCCCCCGTGGGCCCCTCCCCCCTGGGGTCCCTCCTCCCCCGTGGGCCCCCTCCCCCGTGGGGTCCCCCTCCCCCGTGTGTCCCCTCCCCCGTGGGGTCTCCCTCCCCCGTGGGCCCCCTCCCCCCTGGGGTCCCTCCTCCCCCACCGTGTGTCCCCCTCCCCCTGTGTGTCCCCCTCCCCCGTGGGGTCCCCCTCCCCCATGGGGGTCCCCTTCCCCCATGTGTCCCCCTCCCCCGTGGGCCCACCTCCCCCGTGGGGTCCCCCTCCCCCGTGGGGTCCCCCTCCCCCGTGGGCCCTCCTCCCCCGTGGGCCCCCTCCCCCGTGGGGTCCCCCTCCCCCGTGGGCCCCCTCCCCCTGGGGTCCCTCCTCCCCCGTGGGCCCCCTCCCCCGTGGGGTCCCCCTCCCCCGTGGGGTCCCCCTCCCCCGTGGGCCCCCTCCCCCCTGGGGTCCCTCCTCCCCCACCGTGTGTCCCCCTCCCCCTGTGTGTCCCCCTCCCCCGTGGGGTCCCCCTCCCCCATGGGGTCCCCTTCCCCCGTGGGGTCCCCCTCCCCCATGTGTCCCCCTCCCCCGTGGGCCCACCTCCCCCGTGGGGTCCCCTCCCCCGTGGGGTCCCCCTCCCCCGTGGAGTCCCTCCTCCCCCGTGGGTCCCCCTCCCCCGTGGGCCCCCTCCCCCGTGAGGGTCCCCCTCCCCCGTGAGGGTCCCCCTCCCCCGTGGGGTCCCCCTCCCCCGTGGGCCCTCCTCCCCCGTGGGCCCCTCCCCCGTGAGGGTCCCCCTCCCCCGTGGGGTCCCCCTCCCCCGTGGAGTCCCTCCTCCCCCGTGGGTCCCCCTCCCCCGTGGGCCCCCTCCCCCGTGGGCCCCTCCCCCGTGGGGGCCCCCCTGAGCCTGACCCCCCCGCAGGAGCGGCGCCCCCGCGCTTCCCGGACATCTACGGCGGGGACGCGGGGCGCTGGGCCGCGCACTTCCGCGGCATCGGGCGCGCCTACCGCGCGCTGGGCAAGGACGACGACTTCGCCATCCGCGTGCTGACCGAGGACTTCACGCTGCCCTTCCCGTTCGCCTGGCCGGCCGGGCCGGACCCCGCGCGCGGGCCGCTCTTCTACGACCCCCGGGACCGCGCGGGCTTCGACTTCCTGCTGCGGGGCCCGCGCGCGCCGCCCCCCGCGCTGCTGCGGCCCCTGCTCGCCACGGCGCGCGCGCCGAGCGCAAGCGGCGCCTGGAGCGCCTGGCGCGCAGCCTCGCGGGGCCCCCGGCCGGGCTCGTGCTGCTGGCGCCGGGCCCCGCGGCGCCCCCGCGCCCCCCGCGCCCCCGCGCCCCCGGCCCGCCGCGCCCCGCGCCCCCCGGCGGCGCCCCGCCCGCGCCCGCGCCCCGCGAATAAAGGTGCTCCCCGCCCGCCGCCGCGCCTCCTGGACTCGCGGACCGCCGGCCGGCCTGACCCGTCCCCCGCGGGAACAGCCGCTCGCGCCGGCTCCGGCTCCGTGTGCGGCTCAGTCCACTCCCCCAGGGGCTGCCGGCCTCGGCGGCGGCGGGCGGGCCCGGGGAGGGTGCCGGGCGCCGCCGCGGGCTGTGGGCAGGGAGAGCCGCGGGCCTGCCCGCCGCCCATGGCTGCCCTCCCGCTCCGGCCGCCTGCGGAGCCACGGCCGAGGACCCCGCGCTGCCTGGAGCCGGAGCCGGGTGACCGGGCTCCCTGCGGGGTCTGGCCGGGCTGGGCCGGGCGCTGGCGCAGCGCGGCGGCCCCGGGGTCTCTGCCCGCGTCCGGGAGTTATTTATAGTCGCCGCGTGGGCGGAGGTGTTTCTCCAAAGCCTCGGGCTCCGGAGACCGGCCACAGGCTGTGCGCACCTGGGGAGGAGACGAGGCCCGGTCCCGAGAAGGCCTGGGCTGCCTCCCCTCCCGGGCGGTCCCCAGCTCGTCCCTGTCCACCTTTGCAGAGATGACCCGCATGGGGGCCTCCGCGTGGGGGTTGCGGGGCAGCAGTCCCGAGGGCCCGGGGTGTCAGCCACCCCAGCAGGTGAGCGGCCGGGCGTGGACTGGGAGGGGATTCTTGGGGACACAGCCGAGGGCGAGTCCGTGGCGTGGGACGTGCAGCCCGCCGCCCTGAGTGCTGGCGGGGTCCCACAGAGGACCCTGGGCCACAGCGGGGACCTGCCCTGGCCGCCCCACCCGGACAGCACCCCAGCATGGGATCACAGCCCCTGGGGGTGCTGGCGGCCCCTGCCGGGCGAGCATGCACCCCCACAACCACAGAGAGGAGCGAGTCAGGAACTTACATAACTCAGCGACAGCGCCTCTTAGGCCTGTAGAGAGTAACAATAAGATTTTGGGGCTTATATTTAGTATGTTTTTAAAAGTAGAAACTTTCCTAGAAAAGTATTTTTGATGTCATTTATGAAAGTATTAGCCTGTGACAGGTTGGAGATAAATGTGGCCCTTTTACCACTAGTTCCTGAAACGCTGGCCGATGGCACCAAAGCTCGGAATGAATAACCGCAGAAGAAACGGATGTGAAGGGAAAGAGAAAAAGGCAGAGCACAGCCAACACCCCCGTGAAGAAAATGAGAAGGGCAGCCAGGTGGTCAGGAGGGCTTCCTGGAGGAGGAGGCCTTTAAACTGCAGGTGGAAGGATGATCCTGCAAACACGGCAGTGGTCCAGGCAGAGGGCGGCACGGGCAGGAAAGACGGGCAGGAGCCAGGGCTTTGAGATCAGGCTGGCGCAGCGGCGCGGGGCAGGCGGAGCCGGCAGGCAGGGAGACGCGTGGGCCGTGGCAGCCGCTTCCTTCAACGGCAGGGCGCCACCGGGACCCGCTGCTCTGGCTTCCAGAGTGTCACTTCATCCTCACTTCAGTTCTGTGAGGTCCGTGGACAGATGAGGAAACTGAGATCCGGGAGAGGAATGGCCTTGCCAGCGGCCTTCCACGTGGTCGCCACAGAGCCCGGCCCGGTGGGCGGAAGCCACAAAACATCCAGAAATGGTTGGTTCAGAAATAGACTGAACCTCCTGTCAGGCTTGATCCAGGGCTCAGGTTGACCCGGCCCGTGTTTCCCGGGCCAGCCCGCAGCCAGGGGCGACGGAGCGATGGCTGCGCGCCCAGCGCCAGCCGCCAGGGCGGGGGCGAGAGGGCTGGGATTTGCCCCCGGGGCTCACCTTTCCCTGCAGTCACCCATTTCCTCCTTCACTTGGCGGCGCAGCTCCCACGCGATGGCCGGGCAGGGCCTCTGCCCTTTCGTGTGAAGCAGAGCGATGATCTCATTTGTTTCCTGCATGTCTGATCAGCGCTGGGTCCAGCGCTGGGGACGACACTGTCTGCGCCAGGGAGCCCGTGACTTGGGGGGACACGCGTCCTCATGTCCCCTAGCTGAGAGCGGGGTGCTCCTGCCGGGGGTGTCAGCCTCCCGCCTCTCCGCCTGCGGGGGCCCGGCACCTGCCTCGCTGCTTTCCTCCAGCTGCCAGGCGGCCCAGGGTGCCCGGGCCACGGCTCCCTCCTCTCGGGCTGTCCCCCCGCAGCTGCCCGCCACCTCCTGTCTTCCCTGGCTGCCGGGCTCTGGTCTTGGGATGCTGGGACGGGGCAGCAAGCGCCACTTCAAATCGCTTTGGAAGAGGAGGGGCACGTTTTGCTTGGAGCTGGGTGGGAGCACCTGTCTGTGCCTTCCCCTGCTGATTTGCTAGAAGATTCTACCGTCTTCCCAGGACACGGCGCCGTGGTCTACGCTGAACTGGCGTGACTGCCGTGGCCGGGTAACCACAGTGCTCCCAGTGCTTCCAGTGCTCCCTGGGCGGGCAGCGAGGACAGCCCAGGATCCAGGAGACAGGCCGGGACCAGGAGACCCCTCTGCCACGGCACCCCATCAGCACGTCCTCCGGGGCCATGGGCTCAGCGGCGGTGGGGGTGGCGTTGGCAGCAGCCAGGCCCCGGCCCCGTGGAAGCCGCAGAGGGGGCAGCCGTGTCCAGCAGGCTTGCCCACGCTCCCAGGGCCGCTTACTGGTCCCGTGTGTCAGCCCAGGACGGCCGCCTCTGTCCAGGGCCCTGTGTCCCCCGGGAGCAGAGCTTCCTGTTCTCCTGTCCACCCCCAAATGCACCGTCCCCTCTGTGCCCTGCAGCGAGCCCGGCCCCGTTGGGGGTTTGCATCACTGGGAGCAGCTCCCCACGAGGGCAGGGGCATGGCCGGCCGGGCTGCTGGAGCTGCTGGAGCCCAGGGAACAGTTCCTGAATGTGCCCCCTGGCTCAGGGCTTGCTGAGTGGAGGGACAGGCGGCATGGGGCTCCCCCTAAGGCAGGCGGGGCCCCGGGAGGGCAGAGGGGGGCCACTGAACCCCGAGGCTCCCAGGCCCGCAGCCGGGCTCCGCCTCACAGGGGAAGCAGGAGTCTCCACGTCCTCCGTGCTCAGAGGCGCCTGCTCCCTGTTTGATTCCTGGGCTGCTGGGAACAGGGGTCGGGGTCCCCCGCCCCGCCCCCCCCACCCCGCTCCAGTTTCCTCAGGGGCAGGCTCCGAGGAGCAGCGAGGATGTTTAATTAATTGCAATTACAATCTTCAAAGGAAGCCGGGAGTTGAAAGTTGTTCCTAATTGCTGTGTTATGATGTCGGCCAGCTCCCCAAATTGATTGTGATAGAATTTCCGATGGAGGATTAATTGAGCTGCAGCGAGGACACACTTCAGTCCCTCCCCTTCAGACACGGCCCGCGTTCAGCCTCGCGGGAGCGCTGGCCGCAGTCAGGAGAGGCCGGCGGGGCCGCCGTGCTGCCTGGCCAGGGGCTCGGGCGGGGTCGGGCCGAGCGCAGAGTCCGGCTCCCAGCAGGCCCTGGGCCGGCCGACGGCCTCCGCCCTGGCCGCTCCCTGCAGCCCGCACACGCCTGCTGTCCCGCCGGCCCGGCCCCCCGCTCGGCCACGGGCTGCGCGACGCTGGCGAGGCGCTTCCTGGGTCTGCACCGACTCGGTGAAGCGGGAGGCTAGGAGGGCCGCGTGGACGGAGCAGGATGCGCGGGCAGCGGCCCCTCCCCGGCCCTGCCCTCGCCTGCTCGGCGCCACGGCCGTCCCGGAGAGGCGAGAAGCCCGGCGGGAAGCCCCGGGCCCGGTGGTCTCAGGCCAGCTCGGGTGGTCCCGCAGAGAGCGAGGCCACGGGTCCCTGGGCCCCTGGGGCCGCAGGCAGAGGGGTACCTGCTCTCTCGGGGCGCTGGGTGGCTTAGAGGGGCCCGGGCAGGCCAGGAGGGCAGAGAGGGGACAGGTGGCAGCCCCGAGGCCCCGAGACCGGGCGGGGGCGGCGGACATGGCGGTGCGCCCCCCGTTCACTCTGTCCCCGTGCCAGGACCTGACCCGGGCTCGTCCTGGGCCGGGTCCGGAGTGGAGAGACCACGTGGTCTCGGTGCCTCAGAACAGGCTTTCGTAAGAGGGGCAGGGTCCCCCCGGGACAGTTTGCTCTTGGGAGCAGCAGACACACGCGCCCACCTGTGCAGCGGCTCGCGGGCCGGGCAGGAGTCTGTCCGCACAGCTCCTGGGCTGCCGGGAGGCAGGGCTGCTGCGGAGCCGGGGGCCTCCCTGGGGCCGGCCAGGACGCGTGCGGGGGATACAGGAGGAGAGTCCCGGCTCCCGGGGCTGGACTGCGTTTCCACCTGCTGAGCCGTGGGGAGCTGTGGGGAGCCGTGGGGCGCGGCCGGGACAGCGGCCAGGACAGCGAGGGCAGGCGGGGTGCTGGGCCCCCTCAGGGCGTGCGCATGCCCAGGAGAGGCGTGGGGCTGGCGGGCTGGGCTTCTCTCCTGTGGACGGGTTTGCTCACACTTGCCGGAGCGTCCTTCTCGGGGCGGAGGGGCAGGGTAGGGTGTGGGAGGTGCCAGGCGGGAGACCGTTTCCGCCCCCGTCCAGCTGCTCCTGCCAGGAGGCTCCGGAGCCCCGAGTGCCTGCCGCTAGCAGCCCTGCCAGGCCACGCAGGCGCCGCCCCCGGCTTGCCTTCTCCCCGCCCCAGGGGGCTGAGCTGGGATCTGGGGGCAGACGGGTACTGGGAAGTGGGTGGCTCGGGGCGGTGGGTCCAGGGAGGGGTCTATCCAGGAGGATGGGGCCTGGGGCGGGCGGTTCCGACACCCAGGCCTCCCCAGGAGAGCGCGGGGCTGGGGCGGAGGGCCTGAGAGCAGCCCAGCCCCGGGCCAGCTGGGGACACTGAGGCACGCCGCCACGGCCGGCAGAGGGGCCCGGCGGGCTCTGGCCTGTCTGTGAAATGGGTGGCAGGTGCCTCTCCGAGGGCGGGCCTGGCCTTTGCTCAGATTAAAGGGAGGCCGCCCGGGTGCTCAGCCCAGCGGCCCCAGCCCAGGGCCAGGATTGTGTTTCTGGAAGCTCAGACCACCCGCGTCTGCGGCGGGTGATCCGGAGGGGGGTCACCTGCTGGGGGGCTCGGCGACTCCCAGGGTAAGAGCCAAAGCCTTGGGAAAGGTCCCAAGGAGCCCCCACCCCCTTTCGATGCCCTTCGGTGCCAAATCCGCGCACAGGCGCTCGCCCCCCGCCCCCCACGGCACTTCCTCCCGCGCTGCATTCATCACGGCTAATTGCTAGCGGGAGTCATTTATGTCAAGAGCCATTATTCCTGGGAATAAAGAGCAAGGAAAGACGGTTCCTTCCAGGAATGAGCCCTGCCGGCCCCCGGGCTGCTCCCCCCGCCCGAGGCCCCACCCCCCGGGCCCCGGGGCCCCCGGCCTCGGCAGCAGACCCCCGTGTTCAGGCCGGCGGGCGCATCCGTCCTGCTCACACGTTTTTCTGAAGTTGTTGTGAGTTTCCTTGAAGCCAAGGAGGGTTTTTTTCTTTTTTTGGCAACAACAGCTGGGAATAAGTTGACACTTTCTAAAAACCACCACTTACTGCTGGGGAAGGGGGGAGGGAGCCCCTCCCCGCCGAGCCCCCCGCCCAGGTCTGGCGTGCACCCAGAACCCTGTCTGTCCTCAGGCTTTCGGGGAGGCCCCGCTGCGGTGGTGGGGTGAGTTGGAGGGAGCTGGGGTCACCTGGGTGGGATGGAGCGGGGCGCGGGGCCGCCTCCATCTCTCATGGTGCCTTCCGGGGCACGGAGTGCATCTTGGGGGGCGGCAATATTCGGTGGTTATGTTCCCACCGTCGGGGGCTCGAGTCCGACCTGCTCGCCCTGGGCGAGGCGGCGGCTGTGAGGGGCCGGGGGCAGGACCCGCTGAGCACGCGCTCGGGGCGCTGCTGCAGGCCGGCCTGTGCGCACCTGCTCGTGCGGATGTGCGAGCGTGCGTGTGCGTCCCTGGCGTGGCTGGGGGGCTCACCTGCGCACGTGTGGCTGCGGGCGTGGCTGCGGGGCCCATGCTGGGTGGTAACACAGAGCCCTTTGCAGCTCCCCCCTCACCCGCCCATCAGGCGACTCTCCCAGCTCCCTGGATTTAGGCCTGTTTTACCAATAAATTGAGGCTGAGAGGACTTAGGGCACTTGCTTGAGGTCCTCCGGTCCCCTGACCCTAAGGGGCCTGTGCGGGTGCAGGCAGGACAGTGTCTCCCGCCCTTCCTGGCTGGTCAGCCCCCCCCCCCAGAGGGACGTCACCCCTCCACTCCTGCCAGGAGACCTGCTCCTCTCCCAGCCCGGCCGCCAGCTGCCGATGTCCCTCTTCCTCCCCAAGCTTCCTGGCCTGCCCCGCGCACCGAGGAGGCTCAGGGAGAAACAGCTGCGGTTGGGGCCGTTCCCTGCGCCCCTCCACGGAGGCCTGGGAGCCTCTGGCTCCTGCGGCAGCTCAGCCCACGCCCGCACTGGCACCCCGGCCCTCCCCTCCCGCTCCTCTGCACCCGCTGGCTCAGAGCGCTCCTGGCCATGCCTCCTCTCTCCCTGCGCCCTCCAGGCGGCCTCCCCGCGTCCTTCCACACGCAGGCCGTGGTCCTCCTGGGCTGCTATCTTGACGTGACGGCTGCTCTCCCGGTGCCACCGGCACCCTAAGGAGCTGCGTCTCCTGCGCCTGTCCCTGTGTTTCCATGGAGGTGTGGGGCGCTACGGCCAGCCGAGGGCCTGCCCTCTTGTTGGGAGGCTGACTTCCACGCCCGCCCCACGCCACTGTTCCCTGGCCCGTGGTCTTCCCTGCATGGCCGACCAGCCTGGCTCCTGCCCGCAGGGGCGCCAGCAGAGGGGGCTGGGCCCTCTGTGCGTGTCTAGGGGATGCTCTCATCTGTGCACTTGGTCTGGCTCAGGGGGGTCAGGGTCAGGGCTCAGGTTGACCAGGGTCGGGGCTCCAGATGGCCAGGGTCCGGGCTCGGGGTGACCATGCCAGAGCTCGGGGTGAGCACGCCGCGCCTCGGGTGTGCTGAGGAGCGGGGCTGGCGGGCCGCACGCTGCTGGGTCCCCGCCGAGCTCTGGGGCCGGTGCTGCCGTCAGGCGGAGTCTGGAAGGGGAGAGCCAGAGAAACTGGCTGTCGCTCCTGACGGCAAAGCGCGCTGTTTTGCCTGGTTTTCTCCCCCCTCATCCTAGCCAGGCAGCAGGGGAAGGTGTAATTAAAAATCAGGTTTGTTAACACGAACACGACGTACATAATATTTAAAACATCCAAGCGCCTTTAACTCGCTACCGACGTGCATTTGCTCATTAAGCAGGATTTTTTTATGGCAGCGACACTGCGAATAGCTCTTATTAAAATGCTCAAAACACCATCTGGTCCTTCGCTGAGACACCGAAGTTTCGCGGAGGTGGTCTAGGAGCCCGGAGACCTGGAGGTTCCCGCGGGGCGGCGGCGCTGACGTCCCAGCCGGCTCCCAGGTGTCGCGGGGGGCCCGGCCGGAGCGTCACAGCCCTCAGCTCGCTTCCTCCACAGCACCCCCCGGCAGGTGCGGGGGCTGGGGTGGGGGGGGCTCCCTGGGGCGGCACAGCTCCTCAGGGAGACGTCGGGTGTGAGCCGAGCCCCACTGCCTCGGAGGCCCAGGTTCTTAGGGGCACGGGGGGTGCCGTGCGGGGAGCCAGCCACCTCGCAGTCCGGGTCAGGGAGGGAGACGCTGCAGTCACTGTCACTGTAGGGTTTCCAGAGGAACCCGCTGTGCGGCTGAGGCAGGAACCCCCTCACCCAGCTGGGGTGCATGGACGGGGTCTGCATCTCTCTGCCCCCAGGGTGGGCAGCTCCTCAACAGCCCTCAGGGCTGGGCCCTGGCTGTGGGCAGCGGCAGAGTCTGGTCCAGGTGCTTTGGGCTCCTGCCTGACCTGCCCCAGGACTGCTAGGGAAATGGGGGGCACTGTGGCCAGGAGGGCAGGGAGAGCCCCTGGTGCTGAGTCCTGCTCCAGGTCCTGGAAGACTAGGGACCGAGGGCCAGACCCAATTCTCTGGCCACCCTCCATGGGGCTCCTCACAGAGGACTCTGCCCTCCAGGGTCTCCATGGCAGAGGAAGAGTTGACTGTTCTCAGGGGAATGCAGTCCACCAGCAACCCGTGCGCTGGCAGCTGAGCACTCGCTTCAATGTCCTCTGCTGAGAAGGCGGCGGTTGTAGCCTGTCTGCCCGTCTGCCATCCCCCTTAGCCCTCCTCCTCTGGAGCCTGGAGCACCCACCTGCCTCACGGAGAATGGTTGAAGTCCAGAGAGTGTAAAGTACCAGTGTTTCCAGAAATTCTAGAGATGGTCCCAGTTTGTTCAGGGGATGATCATCTCCCTGCAAACCTTAGAAAACTGGGCCTAATGTGTTTGTTTTTTTTTAGGGGGGCACTGAGGCTTGGCAGGGGTTTGACCTGTTCAGGCTCTGTGGGAGCATGGCGTGCAGCTGGCCTGCCTCCTGCCCAGCGTCCCTCACTGCGGGCCCTCCTGAGACCCCACGTGGGGTTCTGCAGCTCAGGCCTCACCGAGAGTGCCGATTTCTCAGGGTGACCCCCCAGATGGAGCGGCTGCCTGACTGTTGTCATGGAAACTGCTTCTCATCGCCACATGATGATGGAAGGCCAGGTCGTGTGGACAGAAGACGGGCTGTGTGAGCAGGGGCCGGGGTGGGGGTGCCATTCTGGGGTCTGCACACTGGCCCCTCCGTCTTGTGGGCGGGCACGCAGAGTGCCTAGGGGCACCCTGTCTTCACTGCACTGGGCAGGAGCAGGCCGAGGAGGGTCAAGGGCCAGCCCAGAGAAGGTCCATGTGAGGAGGCGGGTGAGGCTTCAGGGTCATCCTGCAGCTGTTGGATGTCCACCAGAGCCCAGGAGCGCCTGCTCCTGCCCCCGCTGCAGGGCACCACGAGCTGGACGTGAGGCTGGACAGAGCTGGCCGCTGCCCGAGTGCCTTGTGACCAGCAGGGTCAAGGTCGAGGTGGAGCCGGAGGCTTGGACGTGAGCCCAGGTGCTGAAGCGGGAACCCGTGGGCGGGTTGGAGGGGCGAGGGGCGCGGGCAGAGGTGGGGAGCACGTCACACGAGCCAGCCTGGGCAGAGGGCTGGGGCGATGGGTTTGAGGGGAGCACCAGACATCTTGTGGGCATCTCGGATGGATGTTTTTAAAGGGGAGCCACAGTGAGGAGGGCAGGTGACTGGCCTCGTGGAGGGGTGTGTGGAAAAAACACTGGGTGGCTGTGCTGGGCATCCCGAGGAAGGGCCAGGCACTGGGGCTGGGCCCAGAGTTCCAGCTTCCTGCTGGGGGTCCCCAGGAGATTTTCATGGGGGCCCCGGCCCCCTCTCAGTGGACCTGAAGGCAGCCTGGATCCAGGGGGGCATAGAGTGGACAGAAGAGAGGCAGAGTCCGCACAGGGGTATAAGGGCCGGGAGGGAAGGGTGGGGCATGGCGCCTTGGAGGGTGGGCACCAGCACCCTCCTCCTGAGCGAGCGAGCGGTGGCGGCTGCACCTGGGGGCGCCATGGATCCCGCGCTCCCCACATTGAGTCCCACGACAGTCCCCTCCCACTCCCAGGAGCCCCTCCTCTGCCGGCGCCCAGGTACCTTTGGCCAAACCCGAGCCTGGCCCCTGGCGGACAGTGGACGGGCCCCGCCTCCTCCCGCCCAGGCCAGTGTGGACGGGCCCTGCGTGGCTGTGGAGTGGGCGGAGCTGGCCCAGGACAGGCTGGAAGGCGGCCACATGGGGGGCTGCTGGCCTCCCATGCCGCCGCTGCCCTCCGGAGGGTCTGCCAAGACGCCAGCCCCCGCCTCCTGGATTTAGAGGCTTCCTGGGGCCTGCGGCTCAGTGCCCCTCCCAGGAGCGACAGGGCAGGGATGGCCCGTCCCTGGGTGCTGGGGTGCTCAGCTCAGAAGGAAAACGCTGCATAAAAATAGCAGCTTGGCGCCGGCGAACATATGCTGCCTCCGGGGGGCGGCTGGGAGGCTCGGAGGCCCGGACAGGCTCAGAGCTGGCGGTGCACACAGCAGCTCAGGGGAGGCACGTGTGTTGCTGGCACCGGTGCAGAGACAACAGCTGCTGCTTGTGAGGCACCTACTGTGTGCCAGATGCTGCCATATGTCTTCTTAAGGACCTGCCAGGCAGGTGCTGTTGTCCCCTCCCTTCGGTAAGAAAACTGAGGGGAGGGGCCTAGTGGCTGCCGGAGCGCAGAGGGGACCACGGTTAGGCCGGTCTGGTCCCACGCGAGGCTGGCATGGGTGCGGGAGACTCAGCCATTCTCCATCCATCCTGCATCCATCCATCATCCTCCATCCATCCATCCTCCACCATCCATCCATCCTCCATCCATCCATCCTCCATCCATCCTGCATCCATCCTCCACCATCCATCCATCCATCCTCCATCCTCCATCCATCCATCCTCCATCCATCCATCCATCCATCCATCCATCCATCCATCCATCCTCCATCCATCCATCCATCCATCCATCCTCCATCCATCCATCCATCCATCCATCCATCCATCCATCCATCCACCATCCATCCATCCATCCATCCATCCATCCTCCATCCATCCTCCATCCATCCATCCATCCTCCATCCATCCATCCTCCATCCATCCATCCTCCATCCATCCATCCATCCATCCATCCATCCATCCATCCTCCATCCATCCATCCATCCATCCATCCATCCTCCATCCATCCTCCATCCATCCATCCATCCTCCATCCATCCATCCTCAATCCATCCTCCATCCATCCATCCATCCTCCATCCATCCATCCATCCATCCATCCATCCATCCTCCATCCATCCATCCATCCATCCATCCTCCATCCATCCATCCTCCATCCATCCATCATCCATCCATCCATCCATCCATCCATCCATCCATCCTCCATCCATCCATCCATCCTCCATCCATCCATCCTCCATCCATCCTCCATCCATCCATCCATCCTCCATCCATCCATCCATCCATCCATCCATCCTCCATCCATCCATCCATCCATCCATCCTCCATCCATCCATCCTCCATCCATCCATCCTCCATCCATCCATCCATCCATCCATCCATCCATCCATCCATCCATCCATCCTCCATCCATCCATCCTCCATCCATCCATCCTCCATCCATCCATCCATCCATCCATCCATCCATCCATCCATCCTCCATCCATCCATCCTCCATCCATCCATCCTCCATCCTCCATCCATCCATCCATCCATCCATCCTCCATCCATCCATCCATCCTGCATCCATCCATCCATCCTCCATCCTCCATCCATCCTCCATCCATCCATCCTCCATCCATCCTCCATTCATGCTCCATCCATCCATCCATCCATCCATCCATCCATTCTCCATCCCTCAGGACTGGTCCAGGTTCTGAAATCTTCCTTCAAATCTGTGCACCCAGTGCCATGTCAAGGGCAATGTGGGCCTCAGTTTCCCCACACATGACATGGAGGGAGGTTGACGCCAACAAGCATCAGGCCAGAGCACATGTGTGCACACCTACGCATGCACGTGCACACTCACAAGCAAGCTCCCTCACACATCCCATCACACGGTTGTGTGCACAGCCTTCCACAGTCACTCCTGCATGGCATGCATGTCACACACACCCATGCCAAGTAGCCTTGCACGACACGC